GGTTAAATTAAATCATAGGTTTTTCCCTACGCTTGCACTTCCATAAAAGCTTTTTATTGGTTTTGGAGAAATTCTCAGCAATATTTTATTCTCGAAAATCTTCACAAGCGATTTGAAATAGTTTGCGCTAATCGGCGTGCTGTCATGGAATTTCGTGGCGGGACCATGTCTACTCTACTCTTTCTCTTCACTCACTGCCTGGAGGAATCCCACTGCTCTTCACAAACAGGCTCAACGGGATTAATCCAGTTTAGATTCGTTGTTAGACTTAGCCATTAGTTGTTAACGTAGTCTTCATTTCCCTTCTCCGATGAATGGATAATTTATGAGCGCAAAAAGTTGGATATTCACTTTGCATGCAAAATTTGAGCAAATCAATCAAGCTAGCAATCGAGCTGTACTTTTTTTGATTCGTCCTTCACTAACCGTTCATTTGGAGCACAAATTTGGAAGGGCATTTTTGCTGCATCCAGTTTAAAAGAACATTTAGTGTATGCAAATACACAAGCGTTCATGCAATAAATTTCTTTAATAAACGAATAATTTGTCAAAATTTTGGTTACCCTTTTGAACATGGTAGAAGTCCCTTTTTGTACCGTTCAGAAACTTTCAAATCTCTCACATCCTGCTAAAGTCCCAATTTTGTGCCAAATCTCTCAGGAATCCGTTTTTGCTGTTGTCGAGCGTAAGCAACAAAAGAATTCATTCTTTACTCTTTCTGATATTCATTTTGACAGTTTGTACCCATTAACTCTACACAGTAAGAATTCTAACTATGGAAACGTTCAGTAACGCTGATCACACATCACCAAATTGGCGTAATAGGTAATTTCCTACTCTCGAAGTCAAATAGAATGATTGATGATAATTTCATTTTTTCTGCTGTTTGAAAGGGCATCGGCTAAACATTTTATTCGAATAAAATTGTCAATGGCTCGTTTGAAATGAGCAGAGGGGAAAAACCGTCATAGTGTGTTTCTCTTTCCCATGGGGGATTATCCGCTTATAAGCTATCTATAATATTTTCATTATACCCAATTAAAGCAGTGTCCTGAAAAATCTGATCATAAGGAAAAGTATCTTTGGGAGACTTCAAATAGGCCACTGCCCAGCGCCAAGTCCTACAATTCATTCGCAGCCGAGAAATTTAGCGCTCACCCACTACCGTACTCCAAATTGATTGGCTCGGAGAGGATACGGTAGTGGGTGGGCTTATAGAATTGTATATTACGAAAACCAATAATTTATATGAGCTGCCGCTTGGACAATCGCTTAGTCAGGACTTTTCTGTCAATATCTATGTACGTAAGAATACTTATAACCGTATTCTTTTCTAGCCGACCAATCAGCGCGGCTGAGTACGGTATGGGTGAGATTAGAAACTCATTGAATTCTTCTCAAATTTGCTTGAATATTGCCCAAAAGTAATAAAAAATTTTTGATGTAAGATATGGATGTTTTGCACTAGACGAAGATTGATGGACACCACAACATCGAGTGTCGTTAAGCACCTCTTAATGTTTCTAAATTCTCTCTCTCCCCCCCCCCCCCGCCCCTTTCGATTTCTTTTGCAGCATCTCCACAAATCTCAACGATGCTGTCGATGTCTTAGAATGAAGAGAGCGAGAGAAATACGCTTGATGCAACGAAAACAACTAATTACCATGCTTAAGCTGAATATTTCCTCTCTAGCAATCGTTGGGCTACGGCTTTAGCATCATCTCTTCCATTTACACCTCCTCTCTAGCACCTCCAATGTATTTCCTGGTACCTGAGGTATTAATTGTGTGGAATGTAGCATATGTGATATTTCTAGTGGTCTTTGCCCCCTCGAAATCCCCCCCCCCCCTTGGCTCAGAGCTGCTAGGTCGCAAAGAAATTGAAATGCACAACTCCGCCTACTTCGACTATGACTTCCGGTTGAGCTGAAGTAACTGCCATTTTGAAGATTATTGGTCTCTTGAGGCTATTTTTGGATATCTTCGGTTTTTAAGATGTTTGCATTTGATTTTATATGTTCGTCTAACTATGAACGGCCAAGCAAGACTATTGAATGTTTTCTTCACCTATAAAGGTCAGACGTTGCTACTACTGAAAACTACTTGCTACTACTACTAAAAAACTACTTGCTACTACTACTACTACTACTGTAACGTAAAGCGCTAGATTTGCAGGCACTTTCGCTGCGGGAGCCACGCGCTTTTCCGCAATTTCACCCTTTTTGAATAGGCACAATTTTTATATATGGATATGTGTACTTCCAAAGAGCTTGCTGCTTGTTTACTTCGAATCCTTAGGCTCAGTTTCTTTTGTATCAAATTTCCGTAATCCTCATTTTGATTTACATACGGTAAAACTGAAGAGTTTTGCGAAAGTGCCATGACTTTGATGTTTTCCATTTTTCAAGTAACTTTTTTATTTGCGTTTTTTCTGTTTTCTAATGGTTGGGAGCATTGATACCATGTGAAAACGATGACAAAAAAGCAAGCAACCTATGCGTAGACAAAAGGTGCTCAAATTTGAGAAACCAGAAGTTATTTCATGTCCTGGATGGATTCGGAAATAGGGAAAATTATGCAAAAAAAAAACTAAGAATAGGCGTAACAGTGTAATTTTTTCTACTTGGTGTTTTGGTATGAAAAGTGGTAAAGAAAGCGGGAAAATCTTGCAAAAAGTTACCAACCTTTTAGGTATGGTGTCCATGTTTTGAACCCTTTAGCCTTGATATGGAAATATGTACTAGTCAGTAAAAAAAATGGAATCTGGGTGTTGAATTGATTGCAATTTGTAGACCTTTTGTTATTTACATACATAGCATATTCGCCGCAGGACCGCATTTGACGAGTATTCGAGTGTCTTTTGCAGTAATCGCATGGCTTTGCAAATTATTTTCTCTTAAAACCCCTCTTTTAATTTTTTTTAATGTGCTTGGAGTGTCCACATTTAAGGAAAATGGGTAAATAACCCTTCGAGTGGAGGAAAAGCATTTTCTTTAGAAAAATTGAGTTTCATTTTTTTCAGCCTCATTTACTCAAAAAAAGCTAGCTAAGTCCTTTTTTGTAATTTGATGCATCGTTAAGTGCAATACATAGAAAAAATATTTTATAATAAGTACACTTGATATCGTTAATATATAATAAGTAAATATAATTGAACAATGAACAATAACAGTAAACCATATTCGAGCGACGTAACCCATCGTTAACTTTCTCCCCCCCCCCTCACCTTATTTTTGATAAAGTGCACGTAATATATTCTTTTACGCATGGAAGCAGATTGCCCTGAGGCTAGCGTAAATTTGTTGGCGCTGAATAAGCCAGGCCAATTGGGCGACACACACGGAACAACACTGCAGCTAAAGACGATGTGTCGAACTGAGGTAGACTGGAATATCGACGTAAATTTGCGGACAAACCTCACCTATTGAAGGAGTGTCTAAGCACATCTGGATATCTGTTCTTATGTGGAAGCTGTTTAGAAGGCCTTATCTAAGCTATTGCCAAAGCGGCAGCTCCTACTGTCGTTTCCCGGCTGAGAAGTTCAGTTCTGAACTCTCGCCCATTACCGTACGCTTGACATCTGTCTGCGCCTACAAGTATGGTATGGGTGAGAGTTTAACGTTGGATTTCTTGGCCACTATTGAATCATATGAGCTGCCGTTTGGGCAATAGTGTAATGAAAACCTCCCGAATTGTCTTCACATAAAAATAAATTCCAAAAAATCGGAGTTTGAATATTCCCGAATCTTGAATCATTTTTGATCTTTTCTTTTGTTTTCTATCATTTTTTTTCTCTTCTTTCCAACTATGACTAGTCCAGGCTTACCCTAAAAAGGCCAATCAAGCTTCACGGCTTCCCATTAATTGACCATTGAATCAGTTTTTCGGGGGCCCGTTATTGTTCGAGCACCTTGTGCTTCACGTTGTCGAGAGCATTTACTGCTTCGAAACTGCTTCACTGCTGCTCCTTTTCTCTTTCCAGGAAATAGAACAGCAAAAGCGCTGCTCAGCTCCGGCAAAATGAAATTATGCACATCTGGGAGCTGGATTGGATGATGGTGCGCTCTAGCATTACCCTCTTCGGTTTTCTTTTGTTCTAAAGGGCTTCGTTCGGACAAGTATACGCTTCTCTTTTGTGGCAAAAATGTTTCTTACAAATGATGATTTTGAGGCATCGTTAATTTAAAATTGTATCTGACAGCAGCATCGATGTACCAAATATTTCCATAAACAAAAAAAATACCTTTCACATTTTTTTTCTGAATTCTGACTGTTATCTTACTCACACTGGTTTTGGCACACGTTTACATGTATGAGGTAAAGATAAAAATAGATTATCTATGTGCATTTTTTCTGATTACTTTTAGAACAGTAGATTCATGCAGGTTGTAGATAATTGGACTATTAAGCAAAGCATAAATAGAAAGTATAAAATTTCAAAAAAAACATCCAATTCTTACGTACAAGTTGCGGATCCAATTGGAAACAAATACCACTTCATTCAATTCCCATCGCTATCCTTTTACAATGTTCCTAACATGTCGTCACTTTCAGCTTTGAGGCATGAAAGCTGTAATAAATTTTTGCGAAATGGAGAAATAATATTGTACTATTCTACTATTTTTCTACTTCTATCATCCATGAATTTTCCAATTATTTGAAAAACTTTATTTTATGTTTGCGGATTTGAAATTTTGAATCATATAAACAAAATCTTTTCATATGATTTGTTAAGAGCGTACCCTCTTCTCTTGCCCTCCATTCCAGGTCTTTTATTATCACTATCCATTAACTAGGTAAAAAACCTTTTATTTTCATTTGGCTTCAAATGTCTCGGAATATAGTACTTCATCAACGGAAGTTTTTTTCAGTTTATTCTTCTGTTTTTTTTTCTCTGCATAAAATATGTTTGACTGTTCTGCTTCTCGAAGAGTGTTTCTGGCTACTAAAATTTTCATTTGATTTAAAAGATAGATGTCAGCTAAAATGAACTGATTTCAGTCGTGGATGGACACGGAGCATCGGGTGATACTAAATGTAGGCGGTATTCGACATGAAACTTATACGCATGTGCTCAAGAAAATCCCAGCCACAAGACTATCCAGGTAATTTTTTTCAAAGTCATTTATCCAGACCTTATAAGACCTCAATAAACTTTACTCGTCTTGCTTTACATCTAAATTTTAGAATTTTTCAGGACATTTTTTTATCGCTTTTCAGGTTAACTCCAAATCTAGCCAACTATGACCCGGTGCTCAACGAGTACTTCTTTGATCGTCATCCTGGTGTCTTTTCTATGATTTTGAATTATTATAGGACAGGTGGGTGCTGCCTTAGATTACGGTACATAAATTTATAGTGTAACTGCACGCAATACTCAGTATTATTGTAAATTACTATGGCAACAAATGTTCGACATTGATAGAGTTGAAGAAAGTACGATAAGATTTATATAAGTTAAACCAGAATCACTATTTTTGACCAATAATAATTTTTATCTATTTTCGAAAGCTGTCACTTTTTCAGCATGCTTTTTCTCTGCTAAAAGAGAAATTCGTAGTAATAAAAAGATACAAAAAAAGAACCACTTGGACGAAAATGGGACTAAACGTCCCATTGACTCTTGATAGCCATTCAAAATTCTATTTTTATATCAATATCGCGTCCATTGCCTCTTGGGATACACTCACTAGCTTAGGAGCTGACAAACATCCATTGTTTTGCGATTATGCGTTTGTCGCAAAAATGTCGTGAAAACAAGAGTACGTTAAGAAATGGGGTGTGTATTCGCGTTTTTGTCAACATGACATGTTGAACTACCATTTTTGCAGAAAAAGAAGAGAAGGGGAGGCTCCAACTTGCAAGCTGGTATTTTATCCTCAGTAACAGACAGGGTTGAAAAAAAACCTTGAGTAGACGACGTGACGCTCATGTTTTTGTGCCTTTAAAAAGAAACTCAGCCTCCTTTACTCAAAATTCTTGGATAACAAGGAACTAAAATGAAAGAAAGTATCGTCGAACGGGGTTCCTTTCTAAAGTGTGCAAGTACACAATTTTTTCGATTTTTACAATGACCGCAGTGCCTCAGTGTTCATGCCAAGCAAGGAAGTAAACAAGGAAAAGCACATAAATGTCATTCTGTGACTGCCCACATTTGTAAAAAGGATACTGATGGACTTGTACATATATCCTGTACACCAAGGAAAAATGGCAAAGAGTTTGATTTTTTTAAAATTCTTTCCTCAACTAGTGTTAAAAAATTCATAGTTTTACAAAACTTTTCGCATTTTGTGTATCTATTACCCATGACTTACCGCATTTTTATGAGTGCCGAGGCACAAAAAACCTCAACAAGTCTCCCCAGAATTTTCGAATCTTGAAATCCTGGAATTTTGACAAAAAGCGATGTGCTAAATAACTACTTGGTACTTTACAAATCATTTTGAAAATTTGTTAATTCAAGTCTTTTATTATTTGCGAGAATAACTTGTAGAAACATTATATATACTTGAAATGTCTTTCAATAATATGATGCACAAGGAGGCATGATTAGGGTAAACAAACTACAACAAACGTCGGCTGAAAAAAGCTCCAAAGATTTGTCAAAAATAAGAAAAAGCTCTCATAAAGATAATATCACGTTTTACCAGTCAATCTGATTACGATTAGTTGACCATTTCAGGTAAGCTCCATTATCCTACTAATGTATGTGGCCCGTTGTTCGAGGAAGAATTAGAATTCTGGGGATTAGACGCCAATCAAGTATGTTTTTTTATTATTGCAAAACTTCTCAACCAATCTTTTTTTCGTTAAGGTTGAACCATGCTGTTGGATGACTTACACGCAGCATAGGTATTAATAAACAAAAAACTATATGGATATGCACTTTTTTCTGATGAATGACAATTTTTAGGGACACTCAGGATACGCTAGCGGTTATAGAATCGTTAGACCTTGACGGGGATCCTCCAACGCAAGAGGAGGTAAGTAAATGATTTTAGAGCTCTAAGCTAATGGAGTCAATAGCTAATGGCTAGTAACTGTCATGGTCTGAGTTACAGTACTACTACCGTAGTCATCGATCGAAAATCTGATAGCCCTCGTTACCGTAGTCCATTAAAAGTTACAAATTTGCTTTACTTTTTCAGCTTACTGATGAAACTCAAGATTGCTATAGCTTTACTCATAGAAATGTACTCCAAATAGCGGACCACGTTATTTTTTACATTTTCAGATAGCAAAAAAATTCGGTTGGGAAGATGATTATTATTCTGGTACCTTATCTAAATGGCAACAAATCAAACCAAGGATATGGGCTCTGTTCGACGAGCCATGGAGCTCGCAGTATGCTAGGGTAACCCATTCCTTCGCTTTCGACTCTAAAAATTCTAAAAAATAGAATACATACAAAAAATCTTCCTCACGCATTCTTGCCCTCTCTTCTACCCTTCCATATTCACTTCATTTTTTTGTCATCTCAAGTCTCAGTGCTTTTGCATGTCTAATGTGCTTTTCGCTTTTGCCCACTTGCATGTGCATGACGTCATTTTCGTTGTGTGTTACTGTATGCATACTGTAATCATGTGTCTTTTGGTTTATGCTATAATCCTTTGCTTTCTAAACTCTCATGCACGCAATGCACTTCTCAAAACCACCAGCACTCGCATTGCCAGCATCCATTCCTAATTTTTTAGAAGTAACCAATGTCATACTGTAGATAAACACTCATTGGCGGTGATACGGTGCTGCGTGGCATACGGTAATCACCGTAACTTGATTAAAGTTATTTATTTATTGCAGATCATATCGTGTTGTTCGGTGTTCTTTATACTCGCCTCGACGATCTCGTTTATGCTCAAAACGCACCCATCATTTCAAATCCCACAAATCACAGGTGAACGAAGTTTTTTAATATATAAGAAAAGGCGCTATAACCTCAAAATGAGTTCTCAAAATCAGAAAATTTTTTTTAGTTATATAACTGCTTTTTCTACACATTTGTCTTTTTTGAGAATATTCGATGACCTCTCCGGGAAACCTTCGGGAGTGGGACAAGATTTTTGTAAATTATTTCTCAAACTTTCAAAAATTTTGTGCAAGTTTACAGATCTGATATCTGAAATAAGGACGTGAATTCTTTTTACAAAATTACTAGTGAACCAGTAATCTAAAGGTGCTATTTAAAAAAGCGTTCGCTTCGGGACCGCCACGCGGTTCCCCGCTATTTGCACATTTTTGAATTGCACTTACGATCCTTTATATATTAGATAGATTTTAGAACATTTGAGTTGACTATAATTTATTTTGACAATTATTTTGACCATTTATCGTACCAATGATAACAAATTTCGAATTGTCATCCATGTAGAATGGTATCAAAATTTCGCGGCCCATTACTCGAAGAGAGGGAGTAGAAACTTAGTCTCTCACCGGAAATCCTTATATTAAACTTACCATACGAATAACACCTTTTATAAATTTTTAGTGGTCTACGGTCTACGAATCTTCGAAGGAGACGGATTCACAGATTTTTCTAAAGCTATTGGTACACATAAACCGTACACTGCCCCACATCCATACTTCTTCTACGTTGATCTCATATGTAATTCTTGGTTTACGCTAGAATTGGTAAGTTATTTTTTTATCTCTATTAATTTTTTGCACTTGCTTTTTGAGAGCTGTAATTTTTGTTCAACTGGCTTGGCTTCGGGAAGGCGGAGCTTTGTGACCTAACTAGGGCCGCTCGCGCGCGACGCATCTGCCTCTCTCTCGCGCGAGTGCTCTCGGATCATTACCCAGCCTTAATTAGGTGACGATACCCCCCCCCCCCCCCTTCCCGAAGCCAAGCCAGTTGAATCGAATAGTATGTAATAGTAGAACAAACAATCAATATATTGATTGATTCATAGTAATTCATCCAAGTTATGAATTTTTGCATTTCCAGATGGTTCGTCTACTTTTCTGTCCATCAATACGACGGTTCATTCGATCACCTTTGACTATTATCGACGTCATATCAACATCAGCATTTTATTTTGAATGGCTTCTCCATGCAATTCTCATACAAACAGGTAATTTTGAATAACTATACATGTACGGGCATTTGGTTATCTTTATCATGATTTTTCAGTTTTGAATTTTCATGTGTTTATAAGGAACACATCATATATTTTTTTGAAAATAAAGTAATACAACCTAACATTTTGAGAACCACTCAACATCAGATTGCTAATCTTTTGACAACTTCAAAGTCAGGCATATATGCTACGATTTGATTCAACTGGCTTGGCTTCGGGAAGGCAGGGCTTCGTGACCAATTTAAGGCTGGGTAATGGTCAGAGAGCACGCGCGCGAGAGAAATGCAGGTGCGTCGCGGACGCGAGCGGCCTTAATTACGTCACACAACCCGCCTTCCCGAGGCCAAGCCAGTTAAATCAAAGTTATGTGTGAGAAACTTTTTGAATTTGGTACGTATTTTTTCGGTAATAATTGGGTGAGAAAAGAAGATATCAGAATAAGTTTATGAAATTTCCATACGTTAAGCTGTTAGTTGCTTCTGTCTTTTATTTTTTTCACCATCATTTTTTTTGCTTTATATGACTGTTTTCTAGGCTCGTTAGTCACGATAGACTTCCTCTCCATGATTTGTGTTCTACGTCTATTCAAGCTTACACAACATTTTTCCGGATTAAAAATACTCATACAAACATTTAAGGTAATTATTTCACCCTGCTTTATTTTTCTTACAAGAAATCGTGATTTCTAGGCTTCCGCCGAAGAACTTGCGTTGTTAGTGTTTTTCGTTCTCTTGGCCATTGTTATATTTGCTGCGCTGGTATATTATGCGGAGCGAAGTCAACCAAATCCTGAGAATCAATTCACTAGTATCCCAGCTGGATTGTGGTGGTAAGTCACTAAACGGACTTGTATTGTGATATACATATTTGTTCTGTTCAGGAGCCTTATCACTATCTCCACTGTTGGATTCGGCGATATGGTAAGTCATAACTACCCTATTCAAATTTCTAACATGATGCGTAGTGCACCGTCTTTTAGGTTTTACTTTTTTTTGGCCATATTTTTGTCGATTTTGTAAACGTGACCTTCTGAAGTTGTAGATTATTATAAAAATGTGGAAGTATTTTCGTATTTCTTGACCATATTTTTCGCTCTTGTAAATTTTTACCTTTTGGGGTGGGAGAAGCTGTTCTAGGGAGGTGAAGATAATTCCCTTCCTCAAGTTTATTTCATGAATTAGAATTGGTAAATTAGCTTCATGAGAGAAAAGGAAAAAATTTTAAAATCGGAAACTAGCAAGTACATTTACCAAACTCTAGGGTATCACTTAACATCAATCTACTATATGTTAGGTTGTCAAGAAAATAATGTCGGTTTTTATTTGCTTGCTTTAACAAAGCAACCAGACCCAACCAAACAGAGGATAAGGGGTACCGTTCGATAGAGCAAAGCAAGCTCTACAAGAAGGCACTCACGTCTTTGCGCCTTGTTCGATTCTCGGAGAGTTCGAACTCAAAATCTAAAGATTTCCAAATGCCCAAAAAATCGAAAAAAATCAGATCTTCGTCCAAATAATTTCTACGGACCTCCCACTCGCTCACATCAATACTAACCATATCTGATATCCATATGTGCGATTGTCGTATTTTTTCCTTGACTAGAAACTGAGAAAACGAGAATTTCCCTGATTTTCTCGAAGCAATGCTGAGCCGTTTTTGCATATGTAGTTCTATACTACAAGCCTAGGTAAGTATAACTGTATATTTTCAGGCCATTTCAAGCGGTAGTTTTCGAAAAATAACGAATTCGGATTTTTTCGTTTCAGTTAGTGCTAAAATCGACATTTCTCGAAAAGTACCGCTCGAAATGGGCTGAAACCTACAGTTGTGCTTACCTAGGCTTGTAGTATAGAACTACATATGCAAAAACGGCTCAGCATTGCTTTGAGAAAATCAAGGAAATTTTCGCTTTCTCAGTTTCTAGTCAAGGAAAAAATACGGCAATCGCACATATGGATATCAGATATCGATAGTATTGATGTGTGCGAGTGGGAGGTCCGTAGAAATTATTTGGACGAAGATCTGATTTTTTTCGATTTTTTGGGCATTTGGAAATCTTCAGATTTTGAGTTCGAACTCTTTGTGGATCGAGCATGGCGCAAAGACATGAGTGCCACCTTGTAGAGCTTGCTTTGCTCTATCGAACAGTACCCCTTACCCTTTGTTGGGTTGAGTCTGGTTGCTTTGTTAACGCAAGCAAATAAAAACCGACATTATTTTCTTGACAACCTAATATTTATGGACCGAAGTGAAGGTCATGAAGCACAACGGATAAAGGCATATATAGACAAATTACCAGAATAACATTATTTAGGTTCCTCGCACTTACTTGGGTATGCTAGTTGGATCAATGTGTGCTCTGATGGGTGTACTAACAATTGCCTTGCCTGTGCCGGTCATTGTGTCCAATTTCTCAAACCTTTATTCGCACTCACAAGCTCGAGCCAAGTTGCCGAAGAAGAGAAGACGAGTGCTTCAGGTAGCCTTTGCCACTTTCTCATTATTGATAACAATATGTATTTTTTTTCTTACTTTGCGCTGCTTCGCTGACCCGCTTCATATATGCATCATAAAGTTATGCAGAAAATACATGCAAACTCTATTATCTCTCAGTTATCATCCATAAACTATTATTTACTACCCATTTAATTTACTTACTTCACGTATTTCAAGAATCAATCTATGGCTTCAGTAAGGAGCGCATTTTTCACGGTCTCACTGACTTAAGAACTACCGGTAAAAATGTGATGGCTCGGTAAGGGTGACAAATCGCGGAGAATGATTAGCAAATTAAGAAAGAAGAAACAACAGGAGGTAGTAAACGTGAGTTGAGCTGATGAGAACAATGAAAACAAAAGAGCGCGAGGATCAAAACAATGACAATTTTGAGACTGGCAGAAGATATGGTGCTACGTACATCTCACGGGTCCGTTTACCCGGCTCCGCTCGGCCCTGTCAGAACACTGTAATAAAAGTCCCATCCCTATCCCCGTACAGCCTTTCCCTGTGCCCACTTCACGGTTCATTTCCCGTTCCCTGTGTTGTATTCGGAATCGCCATGCCCACTTACCCCCTGTGCCAACTCCCAGCCCTGTAGCTCAAACTTTGCAAAAAATCTATAAAAATGAATAAAATCGATACGATCGATAACGTAAAGTAGCCTATGACACGCTTCCCGTCCCGAAGTATATGTGTGTCAAGTTTGGTCCAAATCGGTTCAGAAATAAAAATTTCTATTCCGTACATACGTACATACAGACATACACACAGACATACATACAGACATACATTCAGCTTTATATATAAGATACACATTGAAAATATTTCATGTCTTCAAAACCTATTGACCAAAATTTGACCGAAATGTATACAAAGCCCAACATTGGCTACAAGTCGCGTGAAGTGCAAATTTGTGAATTATGATGCATTCAATTTTTATTTTTCTCTGTTATAGGCTCATGAAGTGAAACCATCCATGTTGAACGTCAAACATCAACACAACAAGAATCGCAAAAAATCGTCGATTGGCAATCTATCCAATGCGGCTCCAATGAACAGTCTGGGAAGAAATGGTGGTCCAAACTACGATGGCGCACATCACAAGTTGATTGGCTAAGATGCACGAGAAGGATCATCATTATGGACCAAACAATATTGATCTCAAATGCTCTTTCAGTTTCGTTGTGTATTTTCATTATGTGTCACACATTTCTACAAGAAAGTAGCATTGGTTGATGATAGTTTGTTGTATATAGCATTAGCCGGGTTAGGAAAAACATTGACCTCAACGGGTATACAAAATTTTTATGCTCTAAGAAGGATCTGGATGCAATTGATCATTGATCGAGTTAGGAGAAAGTCTTGAAATTTGTTTCTATTGTTTGCTTATGATGCAACCAAATCATGGGTGGGTCTAAATTCATGTTTGCGTTGTCTTTATTGCATGAATTCCAAAATATAATCCAATATTAGGGTGTCTCATAATTTTTTTACCGTTTTTAACCTAAAATCAGCATTTCTCGAGAACAGGGACACCTATAGAGGGCACAAATACAAGAACGTACTTCTGTATGTATGAGCCATATGACCACACGCTGAGAGGAGCTCAGGACGTCTAGGGACTGAGTTTGCCATTTTACCTCCTTCATTTTTTTATTTCTAGCCATCGAAAAAATTTGGAAAGTGTACAATCGAATATGCGATGTGTCAAGCATATGCTAGAATAAATGGGGAATTTTTTTTAGATACTTTGGGACAAGATACGATTTTTGACAGAAAAGTTCTTTTTTGACTACTAGTACATTTCAGCTTAAAAAACTTTACGTGGGATATGTATTGGACAGACTGATAGCCATCTTGTAGAGCTTGCTTTGCCCTGTCGAGCGATCACTCAAGCCACATCAGCTGAAGGAAAGATACAAAAATACGGCGGTTGGAATAAAAACGGTAAAAAATTACGAGACACCCTAATACAAATTGCTGTGTGAAAATATCAATTGTATGTTTTTTATTTGTTTTACGAGTGCTTTAATTTGAACACATGGAAATAAAAGTGAATTAAGATTTGCATATACATTTTACCTACATTTCAGATCATTACTACAGCTTATTGATCGAGTATACGGTAAGTTGCATGTGTATGATCGACATAACAACAACAGTAACACACACGCTCTAATAACGTTTGACATCAATTGTAATCTTGATCGATAAAATCAATAATTCATCTAAACTTTCCAAACATTGTCCTTGTTGCTTGTCTAACAGTTGTAATATGCTAAGTTAGTCCAATGTAAACTAAATGTGTCATACCCGGTCTGTGAATATTGTCGCTTATTATCGTGATCGATAGCTTCTGCTGCAGGTGTCCGAGAAGCCGTGCAATTCTGAATTATAGTTTTTTCTAAGTAAAAAATAGGATAGCTTGGCTCGAATGTTCTAGAAAACTTGCTGTGCTACTTCTGGGACGAATTGATCATCATTAGAACTGCTTTCTTCTCCATATCTCTCATCCTCTAATTATGCAACTGTGTAGATACACAATCAACTCTTCTACCAAATTTTGGCATAGAATCTGCAGTTTTTTTGCATTTTTCCCACAAGCTACACAACATAAATTTCAGACCATATCCTTGATCAACATCTGCTTTGTTGTGTTATCAATCGTGTGTTTTTGTTTGAAAACACACCCGTACCTTCGGATACCTGATATTGACGTGGGTTCTTTGAACGTCAGCCATCCTAGGGCTGTATATGTTGGGAAAACTGCCACAAGGTAGAGCATTCAGTATACTACATATTTCACATATGGATGTATTGCCATTGTTTTCAGACCTCACCCATCGTTCTTCTATGTCGAATTGGTGTGTAATATGTGGTTTTCTGGTGAATTTCTATGTCGGATGTTATTCTGCCCCAAAGTTGGACCTTTTCTGAAGACGCCTGTCAACATTATTGACTTCATAGCCACGCTCTCATTTTATATCGACTGGGCACTCGATAGTGCATTGTCCGGAGCAAACAGGTTTGTTACAAATAGGTCTCGCTGTCGCTACGGCACTCCTCCTCCCTCAAGCGCCGCTGAGCTGAAGGCTATATACAGGGTGGCCGATAAGTATGGGCGTTCTAACATGTAATATACCTTATTTCTGAAGTAATTTATCATGGCGGCTAATATGCCGTAGCCTACGGACAGTCTCTATATTGAGATAAGTGAAAATCATGCGAACTGAGTCTTCTAATGCAAACGGGTTCCCCAAGTCTACTTTCTCTTGGAAGACGCTGCGGCGAGTTCAGTTAACACCATATTCTTAGGACCGTGTCTTATTTTGGAGAGGAGAATTCCTTGCTGTTATATCACTATGTAATTCCTCGGACTGTGCTCTACAAAACCTCAGGTCTTAGAATCTATTCGATCAATGATCAGATTATTTCAGCGGATTTGCAATGGGTACATTCTTCAAGTAGCATTTTTGACTCATTAACTTCAAGGTCTGCTGAAGTCTGTACAGTCTGCCCCAATCGGGATCAGGCCGAACCGCTGACTGAATTTGCGCGCTCGCAACGCTAGGGATCTGCGCTGCTACGCGCGCTGTCGCAGAGAGCGAAGAAATTGGGGAGAGAGCAGATTGGCTAGCCGTAGATGACGCGATACCCTCGCGACACGGGTTCCCGCCATGCCAATTTTGGCCTGGTTGGGACTGGGGCATACTGTATGCATGCTCAGGAGTCCAGTCTTGCAGGAGCAACATTAAGATGCCTGTGTTTTTGCATGCAAAAATAGTCCTACAGAATTTTGTTTGCTATGAAGAATTTTTGAACAAAAAATATGACGCCCATACTTTTCGGCCACCCTGTATGCAGTTGCGAAGATAACATTCCATAATCTTTTACAATTCAACAATGATTATTCTTTAACTTGACGACCATGCAGGTTTTTAGTTGTCTGCAGTCTGGGACCAAGGCCTTTTAAGGACCAGCCCACAATTCTCAAATCTAATTACGCATAATGCCATCTACAGTACATCTACAATATGTGAAAAATTGATAAAAACAATTAGAGGTCATCCCTAGCTTTGCAAAGAGAGCTCATGGAATGAGTTTATCCCAAGGTTGTAGTCATTTTGACAAAATTTAAACCTTGACACACATGGTGTGTCAAGCGGTCTCACGCGCCAGTCATTGCTTCAAGCTGTCATGTATGTGTTAAAGGCAGCATCCAGGCAGATCTGGACCTATGGGGCTTTTACGTGGAAAGTATTTTTGGGGCCCTAACTAAGGCACTGCCCAAGCGGCAGCTCAGGTAGTGCTGTAATGGCTAAAATATTCCTCTCGAAACTGGACCCCGCGACCGTGTTTCGCATGGATTCATGGCGCAAAGCGTGGATCCTGGCGCGAAACTGCCATGAATCCATGCGAATACGTTCGCGGGGGCCAGTTTCGAGGGGAATATCTCAGCCAATAGAGCACTACCTGAGCGGCCGCTTGGGCAGTGCCTTAGTTAGGGCCCCAAAAGTATTTTCCACGTAAAAGCCCCATAGGCACAGATCTGCCTGGACGCTGCCTTTAACTTGTAATTGTCTTTTTTAGAAGAGATTACGACTTCTAAAACCTTTCAATCGAGCAGAGCCGACAGTCAGCACAGTTTGCACTATCAGTCTGTGCTAGTTATGCCTCTGCTCGATAGATTGCCAAGGATCTAACGAGATGACGGCACCAAGCTTAGCTTAGCTAACGGAGGATATTAACAGTTTTGGTTCCTGCTAAAAAAGACAATCACAAGTTACAAAACCGTGTTGATTAATCCGTTAGGCATGTGCCGTTTCTGCACGCTTGCGCGAGATTAGGAAGGACGATGAAACTTAAGAGCGAACGTCCAATGTTTTGCAGATGAAATTGAGATAGCTCAGGAGTGAAAAGATAACCTAAGCAAAAAACGCCCATGGTACTCGCTAGTGTGAGATTGGTTTTGTGCTCAAATCGTCTATCGGGGACGGTAGTAATTCACAATGATAGACAAGTTGGCGAAACTCCAGCAAAGTTGCCAAATCTGGCGTGAGTCCGCTGACCGTTCACGGGCAGACCGGCGCAAAACGTCATTTCGCAAGCTTGAACCTGCATGCATCGAGCTTGAGTGCCGCTGTAACAGTCAGCCACTCGCTCATGTTCTGTGAACCGCAAACTGTAGCAAGAGAATGTGCAGGAAATCGGTGCCTCGGACTGTCCATAAACAATATCCCGGTAGGCTTTGGCCTTTGCAAAAACATTCGATACGTACAGCCGAAACGAAACGTTCAAAAAAGGTTGACAGAGAAGCAAAGCTAGGAGATGCCGACGAGGGTTGAGTAATTGTAGGTTTTATTCAGAGTGCGCTGCGTAGGCGGATACGCAGCGTACGTCCCATATCTTTATGCACGGGTGCGTACGCTGCGTACGTTGCGTACGCAGCGTACGCACCCGTGCATAAAGATATTGGACCTACGCTGTCTGTGTCAAGTCTGTCGCAACCCATAAGTTCTCCTTCTATACAAAGCATCGAAATCGGGAAAACTAGAACGGTGCAGATATCGTCATTTCAAAGAAAAAGAAATTTTGGAAGTCTTGAGTGAACGGCGGGTGCAAGACACAACGCGAGGTGGGGGGTGGCTAGATTGGCAGATTAAATTTGGGCCAGTCATAGCCATTATGACTCTGAATGCTCCGCGTAGAAAATTTTTTTCATACCAGTGTTGTAGACGTGTCTCCTTCCATGTAATTTATGCAAATCTACCTGTATGTATCACTTTTTCTGAATACTGATGATCGTTTTTATTTGAAGTAAAAGCCACTGTAACGCAGGGCACCAATTTTTGTTTCATGAGGAAAGATCGGATAAGAAGCTGTATGCTTTTTTTTAGAGAGTGGATAAGAATATATGCTTCCGTCAATCTTTTTCAGCCATTTTTATATATAACAGTGTAAAAGCTTATAAATAGAATTCTAAGTTAATAGAAGGTTTCAATTCTGACATTATAGATTAATCCTTTTTTAAATCTGTAGTTTCCGACCATGTGGTAAAAAGTTGTTAGTGCCCTCTGTCCTGCATCGCCCTCGTTCACAATGTAATAATCTCCAGGTGACCTTGCAAAATCCTTTGTATAGAATAGAAGTCTTTATACAGGGAAAGTCCATTTCGCTAACTTGTAGAGCCAAAAATTACGAAAACTGGTATTCCAAATGTAAGCATTTCTTCATATACGCACAAGGCTGCAGCAGGCTGCTGCGTCCTGCAGCATGCGCCACAGGACGCGGCCCTGCTCGCACTTTGCAGGATGCAGCAGCCCGACGCAGGCTGCGGCGTATGTCGTTGCAGTTGCGGCAAAAATATGAGAAACATGATGTAGTAACCTCATCGATAGTACTCGACAGAATAGCGCATTGCTCATTGATGGAGAACTAACTGAAGGGAAACAAGTTTGGTAAAGTCGAGAACGCACTCAAATTCAACCTAAATGAAAAGTCATTGAACCTATGATGAGACACAGCAAAAGATAAAAGTTGCTAATTCTAAACAAAAACTCTCTACGAATGCGAACGTGCGCAGAAGATTAACACCGGTAAACCGCAAAACTACGGTGGTAAAGGCATAATTTCGCTGCGACTGCAGCTGCGCACGCCGCAGGCCGCAGGCCGCCGCGTTCTGCGGCGTAATATAAAGTAACCCTAAGTGCAATATTCAGGATAGCGCATTAATTATCTCGTTTTTTTTTCGACAAATTTTTGTTTGAAGTACTGTGGTCATGTGTATGTGAAAAAAGCAAGAATAATGCTATTTTAGGGACTCTGTGGAGTTCTTTTCCATCATTCGAATCTTGCGACTGTTCAAACTAACCCAACACTCTGTCGGACTAAAAATCCTCATACAGACATTCAAGGCGTCCGCGCAGGTAATCAATCATTTACCATCATATTGAGTTCACACTCGCATTTGAGGAACTGTTCCTGCTGGTGTTTTTCGTTCTGCTCGGTATCGTCATTTTTGCTGCTTTGGTCTACTATGCAGAACGCGTCGAAGACAACCCGGACAATCAGTTCGACTCCATTCCGGTCGGCCTATGGTGGGCTGTAATAACTATCTGTACTATAGGCTTTGGAGATCTGGTCGGTAGATTTTTTATTTTCGAAATGTAATAGCACAAGTTGATTTGATTTAGGTTCCGAAAACATATCTTGGTATGCTCGTTGGCTCCATATGCGCGTTGATGGGTGTATTAACAATTGCATTACCGGTGCCTGTGATAGTCTCCAACTTTGCTATGTTTTATTCCCATGCACAAGCAAGGTGGGGCATAGAATTTTGACTGACACATCAACTTTCTCAAATGAAACTTACTGCAGATCTAAGTTACCAAAGAAGAGACGACGGGTACTGCAACCCCATGAAATCAAACCTATTGTTGGCAGATCAACAACGGCAGTTCTCTTAAATTCATTGGGACCAAAACCACATGTTCCATCCAACATCGGTGATGGTTTAGGTGAACGGTGTAGCTGTTTCAAAAGTAATACCAGGCAATAATTATAGTTCCAGGGGCGTTTGCAACGCCTTTACTGGTATGCCCCAATCCAGGAGAGAACATACGCAAAGGCTCGAACACCAAAGCTAATAAGATGTTGTAGCATTTGTGCGAAAGTTTTGCATTGTTAATTTGACTTTACCCATGCAGAGTGATTGTAGCATTTAAAAAGGTTACGCAGTTTTTAAGTTATACGAGTAAATTTATCAAGACATCGAATTTAGGTGAATTCTGAAGCAGAAATGAATTTGTTCTACTAATCGAAATTCGAGGCGTGTGATCTGCATTGATATATGATATGCGTACTTATGACAACTTGAGAATGTACTCCGCAGTTTGTCAATGTGGCAGAACGTATAGAATCAGACGAAGGAAAAAGAGCTTACAGCAGCATAAACTGAACGACACAAAAAACGGGCAAATTACGGAGACAATTCTGCGAGTGGAACTTGCAAAACTTTCAGAGAGTGAAAATTCATTTTAACAATCGTATCGTATTTTGAGGACTTTGGAACTTTTTTAACTGTATATTTTTGCGATCTCTTATCGAAAAGAAGTGACTTTGTCAGAAATACAAATAAGCGCTGCAGCTCAGTGGCATCTGCAAATTTTTGCAGCATTTGCAATTCTGCCAAAGTAAAAGAGGCGGGAACCATCACGCCGCTTGCAAATTTTTAGCGAATCTCTTAACTCTGGCAAAGTGCCTATAAGTAGTTAACTAACAGTCGTTTGCAAACGAGAACTGTTTTGCTCGCTATAAAACCTCGCAAGGGCTCAAATTTGCCCATGCATGAATATCGTCCATAACCTTATCATTAATACATTTTCAGTCTACGACATGTCAAATTTTTAACCTTAAACAAACCATTTCTGTATGTAACGCGTTTACAAGGATAATTACCAACCTTGTTAAAAGAATTAATCAACAAATTTTATCTTCACAGCAGATTTTCGTAGATTTTCAATCAACGATGTTGTGGAAGACAATTCCGGCATTTCCCTAATGTGCATTCGGTTTCTATCCTTTAAAAATGAAATAAGAAACAGCTGCTGTATACCTCTTCGCACGCAAAGATGGTAGGACGGAAAATTTTGCGATTTGCGCGATGCAAGCCACTCCTCGTAAGCAGGTCAGGCGCGGCACTGTATTCGCTCCCGGGCCTTTCCTGTCAAGCCCGGGGGAGAGGGGAGGGGGGTATATATGGCCGGAATGTGCTCCTTCGAGTTCCTTCGTTTATCGATTACTGTCTATACAATCGTGCCTGGTAGCGCCTCCAGTGGCTCCCGACGAATTATGGATCGAGCGGTTGAGCCTTCGGTGATCTTGCTGTATTTGGGGACGCGCGGTCATCGGTGGTTTTGGGTGTATGTCAAGAGGCGCGATTTTTATTGCCAGATGGACATCAAATAGCGCATAATAAGTGTTTTACAACACCCAAAAAGCATTTGAATTTTAGAAGAAGATATATCAGATAGTTTAATAGGTTTCTTGATCTTGCTTCGTTGGAATCAATTCAAAACAGCAAATTTTGGTGGTCAAAAATCCATGAATATGCAGTCAAGAACAAATTCGTGAAAATTTCGGTCCATTTTCCAGCAAAAGCCCCCAAATTTAGCAAGTGGTGACCCTAGCCAGATGGTAAACTAATGCTCTTCATTTGTTATTTTTTGTGGGGTAGCACTAAACTGAAGTTTTGAGTTGGTGACAGCCGCAGAAAAAGGGTTTTTAAGGTTGAGCCAGACTGCGCGGCTTAAGCAGCATACGCCGCGTACGCTCATATGATGAAACATGCGAGCGTACGCTACGTCACGTACGCTCGTACGCCGCGCACTTTGGCTCAACCCTTGGCTGTAGATAAAAATAAGTACAAGAGTGGAGAGCAGTAGCACCATCCCGTAAGTTTTTGGGACTTGCGGTCGACGCTGTCGACGAACTTGATTTTTGTGTTGAAGATGATCAGTCTGGAACATCGGCAGCACGGGACGGGGCGGCTCATCTGGTAAGCTTTTCTTTTTTCTAATAGTACTAGGCAGTAGATTTTAGTAATGTTTAAATTTCGTGTTCATGCGAAAAGCTAAATGTGATTTGTAATCGGGTCTGGGGTTGTTTTATCGCGCTGGTTAAGAGTAGACGTTGAGCGGACGCGCGAATAACTACTGTAAAAGCGTCACATCGTGGAGCTCTGAAAGTGGGATGAAAGGCGGACGAGTTTAGGCAAAGTACTGACAAGGAAATGGTCAGAAGTCGAAGTGGCCAGTCCAAACAAGCTGCCCATTAGCAGCGTAAGACGCTAACTCTTATTCTGTCTTCCTTGCCTGCAAGACACTTTTGTAGCCGAAGCTATAAGCCAAAAAGCATAATTCAATCATTCGCGCAAAGTGCAAATTTGGCCGTACAGAGCCATGTTCGACTTAATGCTCGTCCAAAACACGCAGCTAGGTTAGTCCATGTAGCCCATGTTTAGTGCTAAAAAAGCAGCAAATGTGCTTGATTTCGCAATTTTTACAAGCAATTTTTCCGCAGTAAGGGTGCCTTCATACCGCGCCCGTAGCAGCCGCTGGCAGCCCGTAGCAGCCGCTGGCAGCCCGTAGCAGCCGCCAGCAGCCCGTAGCCGCCGCTGGCCGCTTTTCTCATGGAAGCGAAAATCATCAAATTCTTAGCACTTTGCGTGCGCCTGCCCATACTTTCCCTCTTCCACTCCGATGTGATATGATTGAAGCAGAATATCCTAAAAATTAACAAATAGCAACCTGCAAGAACTGGAAGCATCCAAAGTCGGAAGAAATCACATCGCGAAGAAACTTTGGCGAAATATGGTTCATTTGCGAGAGGGAAACTGAGCATCAGTAGGATAACCAATCTGCGGTAACAAGATAATAACAACAATGGACACATGTATGATGATATTTGAGATCAAATTGCGGCAACAGGGAGGAAAAAGCGTGGAGGATGGAGAGCCTGGGCGGTTGCATTTAAAATAGTAAGAATTTGATGATTTTGCGCTTGTATGACAAAAGCGGCCAGCGGCGGCTACGGGCTGCTGGCGGCTGCTACGGGCTGCTATGGGCTGCCGCGAGCTGCTACGGGCTGCTAGCGGCGGCTGCCGGTGCGTTATGAAGGCACCCTAAAACTGCTCATATTCGCTTGCAGAGGCTCTAGCGATAAAGAAGACAAAGAGAAGACAGTCTCTTGCTTGTGTCATGGACTCTTGATGAACATGAAAAACGATTTAAGGGAAGAATTAAGAAGAAAAGAAGAGCAGCCGGTGGCGATTCGATCCTCTGCAGGAATCCACCGCGGTCGCCTTGAGTCCACTGTTCGACTTAATCGTTCTTCCATCGCTTTGTTACGCAGCCGAGTCTACAGTTGGACTACATTGCAACTACGTGGAAATTCTATGGACATGTTGCAGAGCGCATGATGGCAGTTTGCTTAAATTGTTATCGAAGTTCGTAGAAGGGATATGAGAAAAAATTCCGTTTTTATAAGAAGTAAAGGGAAAGTGAAGCAGCGATGATTCACATCTGAGAACAAGTCACAGTAAAACAATACAACTCAAAGGATTTTTCACAGAGAAAACGCTTCGAGCAGGATAATCAACGGTAGTGAGGATCTTGAAAGTATGGGACAACTAAGAAATTTTTTCGAGGACTCTCAGCTGAAACTCGTGGACGCCATTAACGATGGTAGCGAGAAGATCTACGAATGACAAAAGAGGAAGACAGGAGCAGAAATTTTCAAGCTGTGGTCTGCAATTCACATAAAGACAGAATCTAACTATCTTGAGCAATTAAGCAATGCAAAGTTTGCATAAAAATAAGAAACTTGATCGAATTATCTACACTTGTTTACATACAGACCATTTTATGGAGAGAGTATAATTGTTAAATTTTGTCTTCCATGATAGATAAAATACATTGTTAGCTCGATATAAGAAGTGGTGTGAATCGAATTTTACTCTTTCGCAAATCTAATCGATGGATTCACCATGCAATATCAGAAAATCCTGTGAAGCTTATCCTTCGAAATCATGCGAATCTTGGTTTTTCATACAACAAGATTAACAGTGAATTCGATGGATTTGTTGTATTCTCAGTCGTGTTAACGGTGTCTCCTCTTCATGTACAAAGTTAAGCTCGGGTAAAATTTATGAAAGCAATGCTTCAACTATTTTTTGGACATCCTCATCTTTGTAGTCATCGAGAGGAACATTGATGATTAATCCTCGATCGTCTACATGTCCCGTAAAGTCTGCGCCTGCAATCATGCTCCTCAATAAGAGAAACGGCGGAATTCGAAGCGTTTTGATTGTTGTCCGCGGCGTTGTGACGCGGCCTGAGACGAGTTTTTTGTAAAAAGGTTTTTAATTTTTTAAAATCAGTGTTTAGAAAGCATAATGTGTGAGTTGAAGTTCCTGAAAAATTCTATCATCTTTTATAGTGCAACAATTTTTTCGCCTTTGTTTTCATCACAAAATAAGCTATGAAAAAAACAGTACATGCTGCTGTACATGCATTGCTGTTGCAGCGGTTAAGAATTTTTTGTGCGTTTGCGGTGCGAGACCTTGAATTAACATAACATCCGCATACCTTGCAAACTGACGACCACAATTTTCGTGTAATTATAACTCGGACTGATGATCCAGTTTTCCCCAATGGTATCTCTGAAATTATGGATTCATCATATCATGCTTGTTCGTAAATTTCCGGCCAGTTTCGATTGCTTCACCAAATGAGGTATGTTTTAGCAATCATTCAGTGCTACTATGCACATTCAAGTCAATAAAGAAACTAGAATCGACAATCTGCTTACGCCCCACACATAAAAAGCAATCTATTCGCTCTTCCTTTCGAGTCGACCGCAGTGTTTATGACTGATAAGCTGCAAAAATCATGGAGTAATTCAGAAACCCTAACAATGTAAGAAAAATGCTCAACTCACTTTTCACCCAAGTCATTATGTTGAAGCCCTCTCAGCATCGCAACGGTAAGATCAGCTTTAAATTCGGCATAAGTATCACGCATGTTATCGAATACTTTTGCGAAATCCTTTGTTCGTATTACGGATCCGTAAGACCAAATCCCGGCAGTCGAGTTTGGACTTTCTTCGAAAAGCATGCCGGCAACTTTTTGGATTAGACTCTTTTCCTTCAATATCCTGGCTAACTTCTCCATTCACAATGGAAGAAAAACATACCTTTTCTATCCCTTCTATGTTGATGTATTGCAAATCCGCTACGCAGACGTAATTGATGTTCGGTGCTAAACGTTTGCTATGAGAAAGTGCGTGAACTTTATGACCAAGGCAATTCTGGAGGGCATGTCGTATTTCGAGAACAAGTTTTTAGTACAGGGTCTTAAAGTATGGCTGGCTGTTTGATTGTTAATAGCTCTCTTACCTCTACTTTTGAATTTTAGATACTATTTTGTATCGCTGGCTCCAATACATGCTAGATTTATAGCACCTTACTGTAGAATCGCGATAAGAACTATAAAGAGGGTTCTGAACCATAAGGAACAACTTTGTCTTGAGGAAAAAAATCAAACAAGCTCATAACTTTGACATCAAACTAGTCAATGCCACTGAGTCCCACATAAAGTTTGAACAATACAGTAATGTTTCCTTAACAAAGTATGCCAAATGTAACGTGACAACCGTTTTCTCAAAACTTCTTAAGAATTACACCACTAAAAAGTTTAGTTTATAAGAGTCAATTTCAAAATAAGTTACGTAAAACCTTGCTGCACAAATTTCAGATTTGCTCGAATTCTTCTGAAATAACAGCCTGTTACAGCGGCAATTCGGAGGAAGTCCTTATCTTGATTTCTATAATGAAGAGCGGTCAGTAATCTTCTTTGCTCTATCTTACATCCCAGTTGAACAGCTATGTTAAAGCACCCAAAGTGAAGTCAAGATCGGCGAAGGGCATTGAAGGATAGAGTTATTTCAATGTGTACATAGTTTTGGGTACTCTATATAATGAAAAGATCATATTTTTTGCAAGGTAGGTACCATTTGATTCAATTGGCTGGCTTTGAGAAGGCGGGGCTCCGTGACCTAATCAAGGCTGGCTAGTGACCAGAGAGCACTGGCGCGGGAGAGACGCAGGAGCGCCGCGGGCGCGAGTGGCCTTAATTACATCACAAAAACCCCGCCTTCCCGAAGTCAAGCCAGTTGAATTAAAGGCTATACGCGTACCTTGCGCTTTTTTTCAAGGATTTCATGCCCTGCGCGAAGTACATTAAAGCCATCGAGATATGGATATTACTTGATGGGTGCACCCGCGTATTCAAGAAAAAAACTCTGAGTTGCACTAAGGAAGTGCATAAAGGTGAACACTTCAAGAAGCGAAACTGAACGCTGCTTTCAAACCTACTTTTTCATCTGCTTACGACCTCGGAATAGTTTTGTAGTTCTCATCGACTCTATGGAGAATATTATGAGTTCGTGAAAGCGTCTTGTTGAGGTTTTGTATAATGTGCTACACAATTCATGATGTGTGACGTGAATGAAATAGTGATTAGTATAACAATCTCAGGAAGCAGCACATTACTCGAATTTCACAAACAAAAGACGCATTTTCTTCGTAAGATGTGAGCAGCGCGGCCACACCTAATTCCTGATTCTCTGGTACCAATTTTTTGGACAAGAAGCATCACGATAAAGAGTGCTTTAATCGCGAATATCCCTGTCCCGAAAGTTCTGTCGTTTCACTTTTTGATTTGTAACTTTGCACTATTTCTTCAGATTTGCATCCTTTTGATTTTATTTGAAGGAGAAAGTCTTTCGCTCTCGAAAGGTTTTTTGATGAGCTTCTGCTTCGCACTGACTGCAGAGATAAAAATGGAAAAAGAAGACCATATAAATTTTGGTCATTTTGAGTTAGGTCGCCAAAAGTCTGAAACGCTGCGGGAAAATCTGAAAACGCAAGCGCACAGATTGACCTACTCTTTGCAACAGTTGAAAGCTTGTGCTGTTCGAACGTCTCTGTGAAAAGTTACTTTCAACACTACAAAAAAAGCCAAAATTAATTAACTTGTCACTTTTCGAAAATCATAACTCTTTACACACATACAAACAACACAAACCTTTCAAAGCTGCAAAGACTAGGTCAAAAAACCTATGTACTTACGTTTTCAGAATTTTCCGCAGCGATACAGGTTTTTGGCGACCTAACTCAAAATGATAAAAGTTTATATGGCCTTCTTTTTCCAATTTTATCTCTGCAGTCAGTGTGTACTAGAAGAGGAGAGCATTCGAAAGCGAAAGACTTACTTTTTAAATGTAATTACAAAAATGCGAATCCGTTAAGACAGCGCAGGTTTACAAATCTTCAAAAATGAAACGACAGAACTTTTGGGACAACGTAAGTGTGTTTAAAGTAGTCTAAAGCAAAAGGTGAGTCTTATACTTGTGAACCTAAGTTACCAAAAAGTAGTTAAATGATTAAACTGCTTTTTCTGAACACATGCCACTGATTGATTGCTTTGGACTTCTGAGGTTTTTGTCATGAAAAATTGTGAAGCAAGCACAAATTAATTAAAATAGCTCTTCAAGACGCGTTTGTTGATGTGCTTATCCTCTCAATTGCTGGCACGACTATGCTTTTTCATTAAAAAAGTAAAACATCCAGCGCCACAAGACGATTACACAGAAAAGTTAGTAATATCACCTTGTATTAGAACTTATCAATGGAAACGTTTTAATATTGTGCCTGTTGCTGTTGTTGTTGTCGCTGTCGTTGTAGCAGTTGTTGTCGTAGGTGTAGTGGTCATCGTAGTTGGTGCTGGGTTTGCTCAAAAAATTTCTGTTAGAATACCGTGATCAAGTTGGCTGGTGTAGGCGGTATGCACAGATTTATCAAATTAACCCCATTTCTCTCGCTGACCACTGGCTCTCTTGTTCCGTAGAGTTCTTCAGTCCAAATTCATAACACAAAAAGGTACACATACTACATATATAGGCTACGAAAACCGATCGCCACCAAAATTCCTTCTGAAGCAGATTCTATTTCAAAAAAGTTACGCAAACCTCATTTATTCATCAAATTCGCACAAGCCTATCTTTCAGATTTTTCAACGTTTTGATTTAGCTCTTAATGGCGTTAAAACAGCTCGCAAGTTTGAGCTGTAATTCTATAGCAGCAGAGATTGAAAAAGTTTGTTCCATATTGAAATTCAAGGCGAAACTAAGGCTGCAAAATATCTGCCGAAGTTTAGCAAAATCTTTTCAGGCGGAAGAATTATATACGATTAGCAGTGCATACGCATTTTGGGAACAACACATAAGATTGCTAAGCTTTTCGTGTGTAAAGGGCTGGACGTATAACGATTCCCCCTCGCAACTGCACGAACACTTACTAGTAGTGATGGCAGCAATAATGGCAATGCGAGAGGAAGTAATTGTATCTGTGGTGATACTGACTACAAAAGAAGAGAACAGCTGTGTCGATCAATTATATATCTGCATCATCAGTGGTGGCTGGGATACGAGCAGTGGAAGTAGGTTTTATAGTAGCAAAAAATATGAAAAAGGTTATGTATTTCTTCAAATATAATTTGAACGAAGAAGAGACTTGTTAAATTTTAAGGAAACCTAACTATTTTCATCAGTGCTGCCTACAAGATTCACCCATACCACAAGTCTTATATAAAGGACGAGGTCAATTTCTATCATTCCTGTCAAAGCCTTCATAAAACCTGGTTTTATAAGCCTATCTAGAAAAAAAAACAGTAAAACAATTATAAAATTGTTTACAAGCTTTGAGGATAACTCATGTGCTGGACATCAAATCAAGGAAAGATACACAGCACACAGCATCAAAGGAAGGACAATCTCAGTCAAAAAAACTCACGTCATAAAGGCTTGATTTGCGTCAATGATAAGAGGGCAACTAAACGTAAATAAAGTAACGCTTTCTCTTTATTGCCTGATTTGTCTGGCTCTTTATTGCAGCAAACATTTCGACACAGTTGCTAATAAGTTTGGTAATCCCAATTGTGGCGAACTGTTTACCACTCTGATGCCACATACATGTGGATATACATGGATCATATGCTTGCTAAATTGAAATCATCAGTACAATTTTACAGCGTTTTTTTGAGTTTCTTACGAAGATAATTGACTATGAAAAAGAGAAGCGCCTCTGTCGGGATCCCAGAGGATCATACAAAACAATGATAATCTAATGTTTATGGCAGTAACCTGTCATTTATTATGCACATATCAGGGTACGAGAACTTTCATAAGTCAGATTTAGCGATATATGACGCGTCCCCTCTCACCCACCCCGTGAATATGTACGTGCATAGGGCCTAATACAAGGATTTGACTTGGCTGCGCATTGTGAAAGCTTCTCACAAGAGCACACTTCTCAGGTAAAATCGTACGACCACTTAGGATATCAAATGAGGCCTGCATTTTCGTTAGACTGAAGATCCATTGAAATTAGTACAAAAAGCAAAAAAAAAACGCTTTTTCTCATTTAATTCTTTATTGGACGAGTGGTGCAGTGGTGTGAGGCGCCGCTATGACCAGATTGGACACAGGTTCAATCCCCGCCCTGGGAAAACTAAGCCGTCTACCCTCCGGGGCCTGTAAATTGATACAGAGTAATCTGGAAGGATAAGAGCAATGGCTTGGTAAACGGCCGGCCCGGCAAGTCACTGAATAGACTCACACGCATGCAATTGCCTTTTCGACCATGAAATAGTGTGCGTTCGGCGCGTGCGCAGAGGGTATTGCAGACGTTGAATCCTTTATCCTTATTTGTAGAATTACTACGGAGTTACAGGATAAGACCTCTTAGAACCACTGCTTTGAACGCAAGAATAGAAAATAGAACTTATGCAGCACCCTAGCATAACCTCTTTAATCCAGGTGACGACGACCTTTTCAACTTACTGCCTTTGTTAACCAAAATCAGTATTTTAACAGTCTTCTATTGGTCAGACGCTTCATTGCCGTCACCTTCACTAACGCTTCGGCTGAGCCGCACTAGCACAGAGCTGCACTGTCACTCTGTGTTAACTGGTGGCTTTACGATTCAAAGACTGGAAAAGCTATAAACAAAGTGATGGCACCAAACGTCAACCTGGAGAGAGGATCCTAACAATCGGCTAAAAAGACAATCACAAGTTACAAAGCTACGCCAAATCAAAGAAATCGAGTGTGTAGATTGGATTGTCTTTTTATTATACATGCGACATCGTGCTTGGCACACTGTTACAAAATTTAAAGGATAAGGGGGGGGGAAGGCTGGAGTTTGGTAAGGACTTGCAGATGAGGTCAAGACGACTTACGACAACATAAGTGGAAAAGGAAAGGGATTTCGGCCTGAAATTGGTTTTATGCTTAGACCGTCTTAGACATCAGATTGAATGACTAGCTCAGACATTCGTAGTTAAGTCCCGCCGGAGATCCGCCCACAAAATGAGATTTCGCGAGAAAACCGGGAGTCTTGCGCGACTCCCGGTTTTGTCCCGACTTTCGGGACAATCCCGACAGTTAAAAAGTGGCGGGAGATTACCGGGAGTCGCGATCATCGATTGTGACGCTATTGCGCGTCAGTACCGATTCATTCCTATTTCCACACAGGCTGTTTGTTTTGTTTTCGATTGGTTTTCGTTTGGTTTTCGTTTTGTTTTCGAGTTGGTTTTCGATGCATAGGACGTAGATTGGCGCAACACCCGTTGTTTTGTGCAGTTGCATACATACACACGCAATCGAACGCCAAAAGGATGGTTGACTATTACTATCCATCTTTCTCTTTCATCCTTTTCTCTCCACATCATAGTCTGTGCTCTCGCTGTCGACCTTAATACCAACAATCGTATTCATACCTATCGGGGCTTAAATTTTTTGTTAATGATGGATTTTTATAGGTTCTATTTTTTGCATGTAAGTGAGGCTAAAATTTCGAGTCTATACTGAAGAGAGGCGCACTTAGGCATGCGAACCAAAACAAGAAATCCAAAAGTTTGCGTGCAGAAAATCCGGTAAAAGGGGAAGATTTCCGCATCTGCAGGACCTGCCCGAAAGACTGGTCACATTTTTGACAATGAGTAATTGATGGTCTTTCTAAAAATTCTAAAATAGATCTTCCAGATTTCGTTCTTGATGGTGTTGCCTATACGCAGAAGAACTGCTGATGAGTGCTACCGAATGCGCGCGGCAATCAAATACGTATAGATAGAAGTGTTTCTACCCTTGATATCTCATTGATTTAGATTTTGGCTGGGCCTAGGGAACGACGATGAGGCGAGGACGAAGACATTTGACAGGTTGTCGGAGGCGAGAATGAAGCTTAATGGATTAGCACGAGTGGCTATAGGAAGAGCTTTGTGGGTTTCTTTCAAAAATAGTCTTCATGAGTCTATTGAATTTGAAGTTCAGAGGTGACGTGCGCGCCTACCATTTCCATGCTGATAAGGAGATGCTGTCGCCACCCTCGGTAATATTCATATATGATTTCTCAAATCAGTGTTGAATTGTTACCCTTTTCCAGAAAAAACGTTTTTGCCCCACTACAACGTAAGATTCTTTGGCGCACGAGCACACGAATGAGCCGGAGCATGAGCAAGACGAAGACATCGAAAGTGTGAAGTCGATTTGAATAATGGATTCAGTCTCAAATCTTGATCTCGACATCCCTTTTTTTTCTGTTTACTCAGTTATAGTGATTTCAATGTTCTTTTTTGGTCACGAATGCTAATGAGTATTTCTGAACTCTGTGTCGAGCACAGCACCTTTGTAAGATGTGTGTAGCATAAATTTTTGAAGGAGAACCAATTCTAGAAAAAGCCCAGCCGGAAGCTGATCGGGTCGCTGCTATATCGCGTCTCCCGCAGGAGACTGCAGTCTAAAGCGGGAGTCCCGCCGGTGGGCGTATCGCGAGAAAACCGGGACTCCCGCAGGTCTCAGTAGAAAACATGTCGGGACAAAACCGCGTGTCGCGCCGCATTATCCCGAACGAAAACCGGGAGTTCCGGTTTTCTCGCGAACCATTTTACTTGTGTCCCGCAGTCATTCCGGCGGGACACAACTATTTCACCGGCGGGACTTAACTGCGAATGTCTGAGAGATTTATGGCACACGCAGCGCGTGACGAATTTGAACTTAGGCTGCGTTTATACTGATCCCGAAGTTCGGGAACAGTTTCCCGAAATTTCAGATCAGTATGAACGCAGCCTTGAAGTGCAGAAATTCTTTTTATATGGATATATCTTTTTATATAGTTTATACAAATCTGATCGTATATACGCTTTTTCTCACCGCTGCGTTAGAATCGTAATAACGCGCCGCTGTAATGGAGCACCATGTGCACCTTGCACTGCTGTTTATCATAGTGGATATAGGAAATGAAGTGTGTGATACAAACGTGGTTAGAAAAAAAAGCAGACAGGTCAGAGTACTAGCTTTGTCGTGAGAAAATGAATGATTAGTAGCCGTGTACTCTTTGAAGACTCGATTGAAATTTGCGCATTCGTTGGTGTCCTTTGCTGCCATTGAATGTATAGTAGCTTATCAAATATGGTATGGTGATCTGTATAATAAAATACGTGAAGACTAAGTAAACGAGGGGTTTCAGTCTATGTAGTAAGTTTTACAATGTAATAGTTTAGTATTGATGAGTCAACTGCCCTGTGCGAAGCGTTAGGGGCTTTCCTGGTCGCAAAATGGGTCACAACTTTTAAATTTAGACAAAGGAGAGCTCAATTTGACCTCTGCTTGACAAGTCTTCGTGTATATTTTGCATGGAAACGGTGTATCCCCTTAGTGACGAGAACGGAAAGAAAGTTCGAAGAGTAGAGAAGACAAGCACACGATGAACTGCGATTATAAGTCAGGGGAAGAGATTACCTTCATCGCTTGAGTTTTGTTTCCGCTGCATGCGACGCACGCGCAGCCTCGTCCCGTGGATTTCTGCGACCAATCGATAACACAGTTCGCTCCAATGGGAATCAGGCAGAACCGTCGGCTGCATAAGGTGTGCGCTACATACGAATGCTGTCGCAGAGAGCGAAGAGATTGAGGAGAGAGCAGATTAGCTAGCCGTAGACGTGACGCAAGACCCTCGCGACACGGACTCCCGCCATGCCAATTTTGGCCTGGTTGGGATTGGGGCAGACTGTAATACAGCCTTATCTTAATGCACGCTACGTCTCTCGCCGCGTCTCGTCCTCTCGTCTAGTGCACGCCGCGTACGCTGCCCAGTCTGGCTCAAAACTGAAGCAGCGTCTAGGCAAAGTTGGGGGGTGTTGTGGTTTTTAGCGCTTTATCATCATTCACATGAATATGGCTGCGTTTTGAGATCATCATTCTTTACTATAGGTTTCTGGCTCGTTAAGTTTTTCTTCTTTTCTCATGTATGATTATTGCGTAAGCTCTCTAATAATCTATAATTCTTTGATAGTCTTAAATTATCGAAGTTCATAGCACCAGAAGTTGTGCGGATCTTTTAGATCGTTCTTGGCATCTTCTTTAGGATACAGCGCGCCGCAGACTACTAAACGCTAAATACTACGTATTCTTTCAGCACAATATACAAGTTCCGCTCTATTCAGTTCTGAAAATTAAACAAGTACTTTTGCTGATGTTTGAATTAAGATGCTTATTACGTGCTTGCTATGCGAACAACAACTTGTAGATTAGGTTTTTAAGTACAGCATTTTTATACTTGCAATTGTACAAGATGTTTCCGCGAGCTCGGATCGTAGACGTATCGAATTGCTCTACGAAGCGTGACAAGAGACCAGAACAATGCCTAGGTTACAACGGCTCAACTCTAGTTTTCAAGATAGCTTCAAAATTTTTGAAACCAGAAACCAATCTATCTAAACATCGAGAAGCCTCCACCTATATATAACTCATGCAATGCTCGGATTTTCCTCCTCTTTCAGACTGTTTAATGTCGTAATTTATGCGAAAAAGACATGAAAATCAACCTTTGGTATTTGTTTTATGTCAAATAGCTTTTCCAAAGCATATTATATTGTCGATTTTGGCAGCTTTAGAAAGATAGATAGTACTGGTTTAGTTGCTTTCTGAGTCAACATCATGCGAGCAAGAGGAAGGCATATATGTAGATAGAAGCAGAAGTGAAGCACTGGTAAGATTAAATCTAACAGCCCTCAATTTTATGGGCTCCCAGTACAATATTAAAGTTGTAGTGTTCATGATTTGAGATCAGGCTGAATTTTCTTTTCATTTATTTTTATTAGTTATTCTTTGAGTACAATAAATAAGTTGAAAGTAAATATTGGAGAAGCATTGCCGTAAGATGCTGAAGCGCTTTCACCATTCCTCTCATGTTGCTGTGTGAAGGTATACATCTATCTAGGAAATCAATGCATCAACAATTTTCTGGACATCCTCATCTTTGTAGTCATCGAGGACAACGTTGATAATTTTTCCTCGATCATCTATATGACCCATGAAGTTGGCACCTGCAAATCATGCTTGATTACAATGAAAAGCCAATACCAAACGCTAGAAAAAAATTCGAAAGTACTAGGTTAGTGCAAAGTTGCTGCTTTTTAGCTTTTTAGTCTTTTTTCCAAACATTTTTCAACCAAATTCTTTTTAAACAGACTCATACTATCTCTAAACCTTATACTTTCAGCATGATCTTAATCTCATTTTCTAAAATAAAATTTTGCACACCCGCACGCAAGATTACAATTTTGTTGCAGTCCTTTCATAGCCAAATTCAGGCGCAAGTAATCGTCTTCTTTTGAGAAGATAGCTATTATTTGTGACAGGTAGTGCTTAATCTTCGCTAATAATTTGCGTCTGCGCACGACTTTTGCGTAAAAATTTGGAAGCTGTCAAACTTGCCTGCTACTTCACTGTTTACCCAGCAATTGATTTTATGAGTAGGTAAACGGCGCGCGTGGATAACGGGAACGGAGGATGTGCAAGACCTACTCAAAGATTTTTTTGCGAATTCGCCTACGGTGTCTTTTCCCTGTCTAAGATTAAGTAATGTCCGACGAATTACATAATCTTAGACAAGGAAAAGACACCGTAGGCGAATTTGGTCAACTTGAACCCCGTGCAAAAAAAAACAAGTTTCGATTTAGTCTTCAATAAATAAAGTATTTTTCTGCTCATTCTGGCCCGAACTGAACTCATAGGCAAGTTTGACAGCTTCCAAATTTTCACGCAAACTGCTGCCCTAATAAACTTAACCTGTTTTGTAATCAACATTTGCTTTGCAGCAGAATTTGCATCCTTCAGAAAGTATCGTTTTAGGCAATACAGTTGAAAGAATTCTTCTGTGCTTGAAAAGTCTCTCACGATTTAACCCCAAATCTTGTAAAATAAATGTGAGTGTTTTCCCTTCGAAATATTGAATTTCGAACTTTCCTCGTAGTCTGAAGTCCGAGCCTTCGGCAAACATTACGATGAATCCCACTTATGTTCTATGAGATTTCTGGTTTGATAAATTGTGAATTTGATGGCATCCTAACAAAATCTTTCGAAAAATCTCGGAAAGCCAGTTACAAGTGTCAAATGTACCGCATGACACTTTGATTGGCCTATCTTACCTTATTAAGCTCTTTCAAGAATCTATTACGTCTGTCCAAAAGTTCGTGCCGTTTTTTATATCCTCAAATCATTCACATTAAAGATAGACAAACATTCGAAGAAATGTTCTATGCAGAAATTCCTCTTCTTTCCAGTAATGTTTTGTTCGATCCTTTAATGCTCGCTTGAAAAATCCTGGAATTTTCAACTTCAACTTTCAATTTTAAATTTTCAACTCTTGGTTTTTACCTACCCTAAATTTTGTTATTTTTTTCAAATTTCGTCTTCTAAATGCTTCAAGTTAGATAGGGTAAACAAAATGCAATGTAATCTATTTTTTTTGGCATTGATCGCTGGCTTCAAGTCTAAAATGATCATTTTGACGCTATTAAATTGGATATTTGTCTATCCCAGACTCGTAGAAAATCAAACGGCGAACAGTTAGGGTGTCATTCGACGCAGCTTCTTCTCTGCTTTTCTGTCTGTTTTCCCGTTATTGAAGCTCTTTCAAGAATCTTGAACTAAAATTCTGAAAAATATCTAGGGTTGGACATTGCAAACCATGGGCTGGTACTTCGGCGATAACAGCTAAGTGAAAACCACTGGAAGGAGGAAGAAGCGCTGATTCGAATCGAAATGTTTGTTTGGTTCTATTGTACGCTTTTCTCGTAAATCTGCAGAAATGACAAAGATTTACAACAACCTGATTGAAGATTCATGTCTGTTTGTATTATGTGTAACTATGTAAGCGTATGTCATTTAGAAAATTTACCCCGAACTTTGCGTACACGCTTAGGGGAGAAGCAGGGTCATAGGCCATTTTACAAAATCGTTTTTTCAGAATTAAATTTCAAACGGATGGACTACCAAGTTTCTTTCTGATAAAAAAGCGGTTTTGAATTTGATGTGACTATAAGCTCCCGGATATTAAAGTCAAATTTTCCACTGTCGAATTGAATGATCAATCTCAAATTGCAAGCTCAAACATGAAATCAAAAAATGGGTAATCTATTGTGCCCTACTTGCGCTACAAAATCCATCAGTTTAGCGAAGAGCAGAAAGCTAGACACCTAGATAGTTCCAGCTATAAGGAATAATGGTGAAACTTAGAGCTTTTTTTTATATTAAACATTCTTGCAGGACAATTGATCAACAACTGCTTTATTCGACGTCAACTGAGCTCCAAGCGAAAAGTGCTGGCGGCGGAACCAAATCTAGCATCGATCGAATTTTTTAGAGGTGTGGTAGCAACTTCAGAGATAAAAAGATACTTTTCCTACTGTGTTTGCCCCTTACGAAGTATGACATGTCATTCTCGTAGTTTATCGTTTGGAACCTGTTACAGGAGGAAAAATTTTGTAACAAAAGTTCCACAAGCCGCGAATACAGCAATACCACTAACAGAGTCTATTTATACAACACTGTGATGTTAGTAGTAATATTACCGGCAGACATCGCAATTAGGAAGGTGCTTAGGGTAAGTCAAAGCGAATTTGCTAATGCAAGGACATCTTCAAGTGTGGTTAATAAATGAGAAACACGGAAAATAGAAGTTTTGGTTCTGCTCAGATAATCGCCGGGGGCAGGCGGTTTGCAAACTCGCGCTTTTCTGCAAGCGGTCAGCAGAATTTTGCGGCGTGGCCAAATCTTTAGCGAGCGGTACTTCCTTTACTGTCTAATGTTCTGCCAGCGGGCAGCAATACAGCATTTTCTTCAAGCGCTCGGCAAACAGTTTCTTTCACCAAGCGCTGGCCAAACTTTCAGCGAGCGCTCGGACTCTTTTTAAGCAGTTTCGGGCATACGCCGGGAAAAGGTAAGACTCTGTGTGGCAGAGGTATCACCGTTGGTTTAATTACTCAAGTTTGAGGTACTTTCTCCCAGCGGAAAGTACCTGGGGGCTGCGCGGTCCTCCACAAAAGATCGTGCGGCCCCGAAAATCTTGCATATTTTCGCGGAAAGTCCGCGAGAATGCGGTCACACCGCCGCAGCTAATCTATAAGGAAACCGCGATTGTTCTCCAAGCATTAGTCTAAAATTTCGCTAAAATTCCTCCAAATATCTGCAAGTGGACCGCAAGAAATCAGTAAACTATTTTTCCGGTGCCCGCCCGCCCATAAATCGCATGGCCGCCTGCCCCCGGCGATTATCTGAGTATATGTGTATTATTTTGTTTGCACTAATGATAAGATAGAGTGGAATTATTACAGCGGACTGTGAGAACTAGTGGAAATACAAGAAAATTTGCGTTGTTTTAGCTTTGCTCTTCAGAATGACTCAATTATTGAGAGTTGGATTTTGTCATGTACTCAACTTCCGGACAAAGTATTCGAAATGCCATAAAACGTTGCAAAACAGATCGATGTGGACAACATGCTTTTCTGTTAGGGTTCTCATCACTATGTCTTTTTTATTTTCCCTTCGATGGATGTGGAGTAATCATTCGACAAAGCAAAACAAGCTCAAAACAAACAACACATGACGGCTTTAAAGAATCCGTCAAATTCGTATTTCAACGGATCCGTCAAGTTCGTATTTTAACGGATACGTCTATTCGTACTTCAACGGAAGTTTTGAGCTGGAATCTGGTAACAGTCGAAAACGAACTTTTCCATCAAAAATTGTATCTCCGCCCCAAAAAGTCTCAGATTTTTCCATTCTATCCCCGACGTATGCTTCACATCGCACATTCAATTGTACTATTTCCGCATTTTTTCCATGACTAGAAATAAAAAAAAGGGAGGGATAAAATGGCATACCCCGCCCCTAGATATCCTGAGCTCCTCTCACGCACTTGATCATATAGCTCATACATACAGAAGTAATACCATGTATTTGTACATTTTGAAGGTGCCCAGTTCTCGAGAATTGCTGATGCTTAGGATAAAAACGGTAAAAAATTATGGGACATCCTAACAGATATGCTGGGTCCTCTAATGGTTAACAAGCCTCGACTCCCAAAGGTCCGAATATTTTTTTTGTTGCAGTCAGGTGTCTCATTTTGCCAAAAAACCGTAATCTCTAATGGAATGTTCGTAAAGTTTAGCAGGCTGAGAAATAAGCAGCAACGTACAGTCCATGTTTTTCAAAAACCTATTCTTTGGGAAGTCAAGAAAGATTTCTATTTCATATAATCTGGGCAAGTGAATGAGTAAATTGATCGTTCCAATCATATGAAAGCCTTCAAAAGACATTGGTTTGCAAACATGACGTTGAGAAAGATAGCCAAAAAGAAGATAAAAGCATGCTTATAGTTTCCAGTTATTGTCGTACACCTTAATCGTTCACGGAAGCAATCATGTGGCGATCTAATATCTGACAAATTTATAATTTTCTGTATACAAGAATTTCTGAGCAATCTTGGCTTGAAGATTGTAGCCAAACAAACTTTCGTTTACATACCTTGCAGACTAACGACTACAATATTCTTGTAGTTGTAACCTGGAGTGATAACCCAGTTTTCCGGCACGAATTCTCTGAAATTTGATCAATACATGAGTTTGTTCATTCTGAATTCCTCGCTAGTATGTTTCTTAACAATCATGTGCTCTCGGCTACTCTGAGTATTGCAAATTGAAAATTACTTATTTGAACATTGGTACTGTATATCACTCACGCGCCCCACATAAAAAGCAAGTTATCCACTTTTCCTTCTGGACCAGTTGCAGTGTTTACTGTTGTAAAGCTGTAAAAGATCACGGAATAATTTGAAAGCATCAGCAGTATAAGTCTGATGCTCAACATACTTTTCACCCAAATCGTTGAGTCGAGATCCTCTCTGCATGGCTGTATGAGCTCCAGCTTCGAATTTCTCATAGGTATCGCACATGTTATTGAAAACATTTGTAAAGTCGGTTTTTTGTGCTACTGCGCCGTAAGCCCAAATTCCAGCGGTCGAATCTTGCCTTTCTTTGAAAAGCGTGTCGGTAACTTTTAGGATTAGACTTTTTTCCTTCAAAAAAAAAATTGATCCAGCTATACGGAGTTGCCCTTTCATGTACAGTTGTGAGAGAAATTAGCAGCTTGGCAAAAAATTGTTCCTTTTAATGTCTGGTTGAAATGATGGAGCTTTACCTTGTCTATCTCTCTTGCTTTGGTAATGTATTGCAAATCCACCACGCAGACACAATTGATGCTTTTTGGTGCTATAAATTGCACGGCTCATTAACCTTTTCGTACTTCTAATAGCGATGAGTTAGGTAGTTTCAAAAATTTAAATCGAAAGTTTTTGATTTTTAAAAAGTGCAGAATTGCTAGAATCATCATCAAGATTGTTGCAGATTAATGCAAACAATGATCACAATGCAGGCAATTACTTCATCATTTAGCGTATGGAGAAAGCTTTAATTGATAGCGTCTTTTCTAGAGTTACGTCAAACAAGCTTCCCATTTTTGAAGGTGAGTTTCCAAATTCGCTAGAGCTCTATAACAACGGAATTCATCGAAATGCTAAAGATTCAAATTGGTTTGCCGAATTTCTTTGTGCCACAATAGCGCTAGTATCCACAAGTGTCGAATCAATAAAGCCAATCTTATTAGTCTTTAATCGTAAGCATACGGTAATGTGCAAGTGGTGTTTCATAACATACGACCAAACTTGATACTTATAGAAGCCTAAATACCTTCACTGGTAGGCGTTCCAACATAAGTGCTTGTAGCGTCAACAGTGGCGGTTGATTGAAATATTGGCTCAGTCCTGATACTTGATTCTGCTTTCGTGGTTTCCATCAAAACTCAATTGGCATAATTGGATTCGAGTTGCGCTGTATGATATTTTTCACAAGGTTATCAGAAGACTGCCCAAAACGAAATGGGGAAATAGTGCGTAGAATGATTTTGTATACGTGAAAGTGGGTGAAATCATTGTACATGAACCTCCTAACAATATTTATTGTTAGGTAGAACTTGAGTTGGCTTTTTTTTACCAAAATCTTAGTAAAATTTACCAAATCTTACTATTCTGTCAACTACGTTTTCTCCCTTTCCTACAACGTGGCTGATATTTACTCCATACCACTCCTTGATAGACTCGCCATCTTCTTTAGCAAAGATGATCAACACATGTTCCTCAATGTGAGCTAAGCGAATCATTGCCCTTACAATTTCCATGTCGCTGTCGCTTGCGCTGAAAGGTTCTATATGAGCTGAATGCTAAAAGCTGGTGCAGAGATATAAAAATGATTGAAAAAATTGAACTTATATTTAAGAAAATTTAACTTGCCTATAGTTGAAGTTACAAGGTACGAAGTACACAAGAAGATCATCGTTACCTGCCCTGTCCACGAATTCTTGCAAAACACTAAAAAATAGGGGAGCAAAGACATAGGAATAGTTTTAAAAGCACAAAGTAACTAATTTCATCTTATCACGCCACACATATTACATATCAAACATACTTGAATTATCAGCCTCTCAGACAAGAGGCTGATAATTCAAGTATGTTTACTCGACATGTCGTGATTGACTTGTTTTTTTATCACTTAAATTATTAGGTTGTTACCTATGCGAGCTGTAAACTGTGTTCCGCTACTTCCTCGCACTCATACTTCAGTATTGTCTATACTGCAATGTGAGCCTAAATAAGCACAAAATCATTTTTCGATCATGAAATAGAAAAAAATTTGGACACTTTTTCAAAACTAGAAATTCAAAATTTTACAAGTGAAGCTGAAGCAGTTCAATGTCTGAAACATTGCCGAGCATTGCCGATTAACTCTCGCAAAAAAGTAATAGTAGTTGGAGACTTTGAGATTTGGAGCCATCGGAAAGGAACTGTGCAGCTGAAGGCGACATTGATGCTAACATCCGCCAATAAGTAGTGAGCGAAATCCCAGAGTTTACCGGGACTTTACACTATAGGGTAACTCGGGAAACGGTCGAAGGGAGCGATTTTTTCCCGCACCAACTCAAAACTCCAATTTAGTGCTGCGGGTCTTCAAAGAGTACCAGATAAAGTGCATTAGCTTACTACCTGTCTGAAGTTACCATATGCTGAGTTTGGCGCCTTTTGCTGAAAAATGGACCGAAAGATTTATGAATATGCTTTACACTGCATTTTCATAGGTTTCCTCAAAATGGCCCGTTTTGAATTGATTCCAAGGTATTAAAATCAAACAACCCATGCAACTATCCAATATATTTCTTTCTCCTTCGAATGCTTTTAGAAAGTTATAGAACACCTATTTTGTGCTATTTAGTGTTCACCTGTAGAAATCGCGCCTCTTGACATACACCCGGGTAATACTACATGCTTGACACGACGTCATATTTACTTGCCGTCAAACTGAAATTTTTGTGACTTTACTAAAAAGGCATTGTCATGCAAGGCATTGTGCAAAATGAGTACAGTTTTCATGATTGTCTGCCGAAAAACTCCCCAAACCAAGTTTCAGCTGGAACCGTAACAACCTAGAGCGAAGCGTGAGTTTTTTTTACCGTACATTAACCTTACATGAGTGGCCAAAATTTGGAACGCTGTAACTGTAGATCACGTCGTGGCCTGAACATTGCCGAAGTCTGAGTGTACGATATGCGTTAAGAAAAAAGTTGGGAAGTTGCGAGATTTAGTTAACAACCTAATATTTAGTGTGTGTTCAGAATTTCTGTACTAGCCTCGTAAAGAGAATAACCAAACACAGTTATAGGAGAGAAGAGAGAAGAGGAAGACCCACAGATACTGTTTGAAAGTTGTTTGCGGATTTGAATGACTCATTGCAGTTTCCAACTTGTCAATAGCCTTCAACCAATCCATCGATTCAGAAGTTTTGACTTTATCAGCAAAGAGGATAAATCGAAAGCGTTGGTCCTTCATTTCCAAAATGGCGTGTTGAGTACTTACGATATTCTGGAAGCAAATAAAGCTTTTTTAGGCCTAAGGCATACTTCCCATGATTCCGTCAGATTGCTACGTCAATCGGCTAGGCGATTTGACAGATGTTTCGAGATTCACCGTGCGCGGCGCATATACATGTACAGTCGAGTAGATTCTCCGCTTAATATAGTGTGCTCGCACTGCAGGTGAAATAAGGTGAAATTTGCACGTGGATGATTAGCTGTGACAATAATGCGAGCATTTTGAGCGCGCAGTTGACCGGGTCACAGGCGTAAATATTCGTTCACGCGCTAATTTTACCGCGTTCTACCAGTGCAAGCACACTATATTAAGCAAAAATCTACTCGACTATAATTTCCGTGAGTGTTGCAGAAGCGAGTGAAGCGCACTTCCGACCAGTTAGAAGAGCCGTTGCAGTGCCAGATCGAGGTATGCCTTAGGCTTTAGAGATGAATCTCTCAACTGTTAATGGGTTTGGCTAGCGATAGAACACGTAACGGGGAAAGAATAGTGGATTCATCTACTAACCTGCTGCATAAGTTTTGTATATAGTTATTGTCTTGTGTTTGAAGCATGAGCACTTTTGTATCGCAAGGAAGCGTTATAATTGCTCTTAATGCAAATCAAACTTAAATAGAATCCTTATTCTAACGATATGGCCGAGAGCGGTCTCATTAAGAAATGATTCTCACCAAGAAAATGACTTCATTGCACCCTTCAAATCAGCGTCAATTTCCTGTATTGGTAGCGGATTTAGGGGTGTAAATGTTGGTAACCATTACTTCAACTGGCTTGACTTCGGGAAGATGGGGCTTTGCGACCTAATCAAGGCCGCTCGCGCCCGCGATACACCTGCGCCTCTCTCGCGCGAGTGCTCTCTATATCACTACCTAGCCTTAATTAAGTCACGAAGCGCCGCCTTCCCGAAGCCAAGCCAGTTCAATCAAATGGTATATGGATAAACTCATACTCATGCAAAAAAAAGTGCTGCTCACAAAACTTATTGTCGAAGATCATCATTCATAACAATATTTTACAAGCACTATTGGTGAACGGAGAGAAAAGTTCAAAGATGGAGGTGTTAGAGTAAAGTAAGAGTTAGTAGGCCCCATACACCAGTTGCTCTTCACTGCTACAAGTTAAATTTCCTAACCTGAAAATAGGCGTGTATCCATGTACTACAGTTGTGACAGTGGAATGTGAAAAATTTCGGCGAATTCGCCAAATTCGCCGATGTCGCCGAATTCGCCAATGTCGCCGAATTCGGTTGATCTCAACCAACCTTGGTAAGATTGCATTTGTCATCGTTTCGGACTTCTTTGTATTGCACATCATAATCTGTATTGAAGGCGAAAAAAATTGTACGCACTAACTCTTTCGGTTCTTCTGAATCCTCGTTATTTCCTGAAAGTACAGCGTTTGTCACGTGAGGAGATATTCGACTGAAGTAGACATCCATGTCGAAGGGGTTACACGACGCAAGAACTGAATTGTATGTAAATTTCTTCAACAACATGCGATGTGGCTTCGTTTTCAACCTTCATCATCTAAAACTTTGTTCGGACTTTTCAGAATCACATTGCGATGGTTAGTGATGTCAAGTGCATTTTTCTGGACTCAACGGGATCTGCCATTTAGGTTACTCCTGGATTTCAGTCCTAAATAATTATGAATGGTCTATGCAACGTCTTCTCAATCCCTCTTTTTGATTGAAATGTTTATCTCTGAAACCTACTCGCACAAATATACTGCAATAAGGCAAAGTCCTTGAGCTATTTTAACAGACTGCAGCAAGGAGCTTCTTTTGCATTAACGGAGCACTAGCAAGGGAAGCTTGTTCAGTCGAAGTGGCCTTTCTAAATGGGATGTGCATCATACTAATGGGCATAAGACGCTGATTCCAAATCTGCCTTTCTTACCTGCAGAACATTTATGGACGAGGAGTTATGAGCGTTTTTTAGAGCCAAAAATTGAACGTGCATTTTGGTTAAAATGAGTTGCTAAAATCTTACTAGCCCTCAAATAATGCAACTGATTGTGATATTTTTTATTTTAGGGTATATTTGAATAATGTGCTCTGGTGGTTATCACTGCTCCATTGAGGAGCTAAAAAGTAGTATGGCTATTTTTGTTCTAATTGCACATTCAAATTTTTGCTCGATAAGCGCTCATAACTCCTCGTTCATAAGTAATCTGCAGACAAGGAAGGCAGATTTGGAGTCAGCAATTTGAGCCCTTCAACATCGTATACATCCATCTGAAAAGGGCACTTCGACTAAACCTGCATTTCTTCTAAGCTGAAAATCCTTATAGGTTGAGTGTCTTGTTAGTCTTGCTAAACTTTTCGAAAAAGTTAATAGTGCAAATGCGTAATCCTTGGCACTTCTCTTTTTACATAACCCCGCAATTTCGTAAAATACCTTGCAAGCATTTGCGTTTATCAGAATATGAGACAGAATAACACAACTTCTTGACATGCTCAAGCACACCTTCGAGTGCTTATAAATAATCCTAGTTTTCCGAGTGAAAAAAAAAGATTGCTCATAACCATCACTTGCATATTGGACGGATATGTGCGCTGTCAGAATCATACTATCATTTTGTCCTCATTTTTTTGATTTCGCATAAATTATCAAAATGTTGCCTGCATTTCGCGTTGCTGAAAAGGCTTTTTGGGTTCAAAATGTTAGTTAAATTGTTGCAATTTCAAGTGCTGTTATAACTTACTTATTATTCCGAGTCAGAAGTTTTTGATTGTTTTTATTACATTCTCGACGTGTAAAATTGTTTTTTGCTGCATGCTAATCAACTGAAGAACTTACTACTGCCGCGCGGTAAACGCTTGACAAAAAGTGACAGAAGTCTCAAATTTTGGCTCTCACTAACATGAAGAACTCCTCGTAGCCCTACAGTCCCCTCTTCTCCCCTCCCCACAAGCAGTTGATGATTTATTATACCGTTAGGCACCCGCCATAATTGGTCCTCTTGATCCGCTTGATCTGCTTCGTGCAAAACGCGCATCACTAGTTTGTCATTTGGCGTCGCGTACAGCGTATTTGTCGTAACTATACAAAATTCCTTTTTATCTACGCGGCGCCAAATGAGTTTTGCACGAAGCGGATCAAGCGGATTAAGCGGACCAAGCGAATCAAGGGGATCAAGTATAGCAGGTATCTACCGTAGAAGCAAAGTTCAATATGGCACGTTGTAAACCTGTGAGACATTAAAGCACGAAATGTTAACGAAAGCAGTATATGCAAACTTTTCTGACACCATATTTGTACATTTCCATGTGAAAGTTTTGTCGTTTATCAGAACAAGTGAGCATCAGCGAACAGGGAAATGGTCAAAAATCGAAACGGCCGATCTAAACAAGCTGCAAATCATTAGATGCAGCTTGAAACGCTGACTTTAAATATCTATTTTGCATCTGCTCATGCCTTTATGGGCGAAGTTATCAGCCGTTGGAGACCGTTTGATTTGGTGAGAAATCGTGCTTTCAAAGGTCAAATTTAGCAGTACAGAGCCAAGACATGCAGCAAGTTACTTTATGATCTTATAGCCTAACGGTGAGCTGAAAGTGCAACAATGTGCTCAATTTCACAGCTTTAATGTACAGTCCGTGTCAGCCTTATGCCGCTTTTGCACCGGCCAAAGCGCGACCCCAGTGCCTCTCGCCGCCTTCGCGCGCGTATAGCCTGCGTATTTACTTGTCTCATGATCGAAGTCGCCTCGCTAGGATCTTGCAGTTCTGACGCGTAGCGGCTACGGAAAAGGGAACATTCGGTTTACATCAATTGTAGGACTCTTTCGTAATAAAACTGCTCAAAACCTTGTTCGCAAAGTAATCAGGCATGGAAAACAGATTTGAAATCAGCGTTGAATGTTAGGCAGCTTGCCTAAATTGGCCATTTTGACTTTAGATCATTTCCTAAGTTCATAGAAAATGGCTCCACAAACTCTAAAAAGATTGATGGGTAAAGATAGGATGTTTCAGAAAACATCAGGAAGGAGGGTGTAGCAGAGAAGCCCCAACAAAACCAAATAACTGTTTTTCTTTCTTTTTGTGCTAAAAGCGAGGTTTCTGTGCATCCTAGTCGGGACAATACTTTTCAACCAATCTACTTTCAGTTTACGATTTAGTTTCAAAAGTTCAAGGAGGCTACTGGGCTTATTGAAAATGAGGAGCTGCGCTTAGATCTCAAGCAGAGAATCGCCCGCGAGAATGCTGTCCTATCTTTCTTGTTGATGAGTGATTTTCAACTCCTGCGACGTTGTCAGCGCTCTTAGGCCCGTATGCACGTACATCCCCGTGGGGAGGGGAGGGGATCTGAGAGGGGAAGCGCCATATCTCACTGCTTTAGATATCTTTTTTCTTTCTTCTCTATCCTGCTTATGAGGGTTCTCGTACCCTTATACTTGCGCATAATAGATACCAGGTTACTGCTATACAAGATTAAATATTCACTATTTCTTTCGATCCCCTGGGGATCCCCAGGGGATCATCTCACGTTTTCAAAGTCGTTTATCTTCCTCAAAAATGAATGAAAACGCTGCAAAATTGTACTGAAGACATACTACGACACTGCTGAGCATGTTTTCGCCAGAAGAAATTGAATCTGAAGATTTTGATTTTTTCGATAATCCCTGGCTCGCGAGCAGCGGTTCATCGAAGATTTTGATATCTTGAGATTTCACTCATTTCTACCATAAATATGTTTAGCAGTGTTGTAGTATATCCACAGTACAATTTCAGAACATTTTCATCGAGTTTCCTGAAAGATAAATAACTTTGAATATGTGAGGTGATCCCCTGGGGATCCCAGGGGATCAGACGAAATAGTGAATATCTAATCTTGTATGGCAGTAACCTGGCATCCGTTATGCGCAAGTATCAGTGTATGAGAACCTTCAAAACCAAGGCAGAAAAAGAAGAAGAAAGATACATAGACTAGCGAGATATGACGCTACCCCCTCTCAGATCCCTTCCCCTCCCCGCGGGGATGTACGTGCATACGGGCCTTAGACGCGTCATGACGATCAGAATGATGTATGTATAATGTTGGAGGGTTTTGTTGAGATCCCGGAGATCTACGACCAGAGCCATATGCCCCGTCGGCTCTAATCTGTCTCCGCTGCTCGTTTGCGTCTCCGCGCATTGCGCGCTACCTCGCTACCCCAAATGCGGGGACACCGGGCATTTGGCTCTAGTACCCTTCTCTTTGTTGTTCTGAGCCCAGTTATGCCAAACTATATATCATATTGAAGCTCCTGATCTCTACTTTTACTTTGACAATGTCGCAGAACGCCGTCTTTTGCTGCGAACGAGAAACCCGAAAAAACCGAAAAATTTTTTCGAACAATGCGATTTTTTCGATTAAATTTTCATCCCTCGTTTTTGACATGCTAGCGACAGCAAATTGCAAAAAAGAGGATGCGAAAAGATGTTTCAAAAAATATGGGAGAGAAAAAACACAATCAGACGCAAAGAAAAAAATCAAAGAAAAAATGACAATTCTGAGCATAAAGTTATCGTAAGCCTAGCTATTCGTATTGTAGATTGGTTTGCGGCACCGGTCAAACGTTGTGTGCGCCCTGCCGTGGCCTACAGCTGGAGTATGAAGCAACTTTGAAGTTCCTAGAAACCTAATATGTGATTAAAAAAATTCCAAAAAGTACGTTTTTGTTCGTAGCTCTTTATTAAAGCTATTAAGCCATTATTTCTTTCAACATTGGAAGCATCTTGGATTGTAAGCAGAACAAAGCTGACAACAGCTGAAAAACACAGAGACTACGAGAAGAGAGTATAAATTTAACGGACGCACCAAAAACTAGATCGGCTTTGACGTGCATTTCAACAGGTAAGAAAAATACTTCGCGTTTTCAAAACTAATTCTTTTCTTGTTTATCCTTTCTCAATAATCTTTATTTCTGAATGGTTGCTTTTGGAATAAACACGAAGAAGAAATTAGCTTTTTTTTCGTTTTCTCCCGTGTTGTGGGCCTGGTCCTGGTGCAAAAACGCAAAAACTTGAAATTTGAAATGCCGCAAAATGAAAGATTTTGAACTTATTGTAACGATCTTATCCGATTTTCAAGATTTTCTTGCTTTTGCTTTTTGTTTTGCATCTTTTTTCTTTTTGAAATTTCTATAACAGTCTCTTCATTTTCCAGGTGGGGCAGATATTCAAACAACCTTTTCTTTTAAGGCGCCATCTCTAGGCTATCGAAGGTATGATCATCTTTGCCTAGGTACACACAGAAAAAGGCTCGTACACCTTGTTTGACACTACACTTGAACACATCTCGTCGCTTTCACTTTACAAAACTTTGAAAAGAATACACGTTCCAAATTTGACTAAAATAGTGCACATATCTGTGCGGAAACAAAGAGAAGCTTTGGGCACTACAAATACGTCGGGAAGCATAGTGAAAAGTGTGCGAAGTGCGCATCCAGAAAGTTACACGTTGCTTTCCATTCAAGGTATTGTCCAGGTCAACTGGGGGGTATTGGGATCGTGACACAGTGTGGGAGCATGGCTCCTGACTAACCCAACACTTCAAGTCCGATTGAAAAAATGGTGAATTTTGAAGCGAGATTTGCTCCGGAAAAAGGGGCAATCCGCCAATCCCGCCTCCTTGACAAGTTTTGACGTTAATGCTGTAGATCTAATTTGAAAAATCACGTCAGCACTTGTCAAGGGGGATTGAACCGCCCTTTCTCCGGAGCAATTTTCCACTTTCAGTCCACCTTTTTTAATCGGACTTGTATTGTTGCATCAGTCAGGAGCTGTGCTCCTGCACTGCGTTAGAACACGACCACCCTCCAATTGAACTGGACAATGCCTCTAAGCATTCAGTGCTCAGTCACACTACGCGCTGATATAGTCAGATATTCTTCACCCTCCTTCCCTCTTCACCACCTCTTGAACACTTTCCGCAATATTATGCACAGGTGCCGGGACGACTCTATGTCTCCAACCTTGGCAATAACTGTTTCACTCTTCCGGATGCAAAATCTCATTACCCAATTTGCTCTCCATGATGGATTTTCGGTCAGTATTCGACACAGCAGATAAGCCAAAAACTCTCAGTGAAAATTTGGCAAACAAGTGCTACAAATAAGAGAATTAGCGGAAGATTAGTATACGTTTAGACATTTAGCCCTCTACTCAAAGAAGACACCAAGATTGTGTCTATCCCCCTCGCAATTGTTTGAGGAAGTATTACTAGTTAATATCGTAACCTACATTCTCTGCATTCGATCTACACTTGAACTACGACAAATGTGACGTTCCTCCGACTCTCATTCTTAATTGAATACATGAAGAAAACAAACAACATGTTATTCTGGCCCGGAGCCCTGTGATGCAATATAATACTGTAACTTTTCTTTTACACAAACTCTTTTACAACAGGAGAAAGGAGTAGGTACCTAAAAATGGGCTTACCTTTTGCCTTCAATGTAAGCACGACGGTCAGGATTACTGCGAGAACGATTATAAATGCTGCTGAGATCAATGCGTAGCGCAGTTTTACTGAAAATGACTTGGAAAAGGATCGAAGTATGGCTTGGCCAACTTAGACATGGGGGAATTTTGAGTTTAGAATTGAATGGATAGCCTCTTCTTACGTCTATTCTATTCGTACGCTTCAAAAAACTTTCAAGTCAAGCTCTTGTAAACAACTTTTGTTGTGATTTTTTCCAATGTGATCGAGGCGTCGCAAAATTTAATAGTTGCCTGGGGCCCTAAGCAAGCAGAGCACAGCAAGCCAGATATTCGCAAAATACAGAAATCCCATTTCAAACATAACCCCTAATCGGTGTACAGTGGGTGATTTTATTCGGCTTAAAGGCATTAACGCAAGAATTCTGAGCGTGGATCTTTGTGCCAGACACAAGAGCAAATCAATTATGCTAAACGACGAAACGCCACATTTGAAATGTGCCTATTTTTCTGTTCGGCAGGATTCTTATTCAGTTGCTATATTTTTTCAAGGATAGAAACTGCACAAAAAGGAAGACAGAATTCAAAATAAACCCTTACTGTTTTGTGTGACGACAGAGAAGTTTCTTTGATTGAAAAATTTCTTTGGAGAAACTTTCTGCTCTTCTATGTAGTTGTATATGTGATCGCTATGTGTAGTATCGCTATGCATACGCTGAAATCCATTCTCCTTTGACGAAGCCGAGAGTTCTTGGCGAGGGTTCAAACTCATAAAAGTTCCTGAAACATTTTCGAACGGACATAATAACGTCGCTGATAACATATCACATTATAAGACACCAATCAGAAATTCACAACTTGTCTTTCAATAAGACAAACAGTGCTACAACCCGTAAAGTACTGATGTGTTTTAATGGAATTCCCACAATCCTAGTATAAATCCTACAATTCATTATTTCTCTGCTTACTCAAAATCCTAGACTCAAGAGAGCATTCAAAATGCAGAAATTGCGCGAAGACACTGACTCTAATGGTGATGAGCAGAGCGGTGCAAAGAGCGAAAACACGGTTCTCTTTTGTATTTGTTGCAAGAGGACGCAAACACTCATCAGGAGAATAAGGAAGAAACTAGTAATCACGTTTATTTTTAGTCCATATTCAGTGTGTGGTTCAAAGGACAAGCGAGAAGAGGAAGAATGGCATCGAGGAATTGATGTCGCACGAAATTTTTTTTTCACAAAAACGTGCATCAATGGAATTTACTTCTGCGGCTGATGTCAGTAGCAAGCGATTTTGTTCATCGATCGCCCAGAATGGAATCGATATATAGATCATTGATAGAACTCAAGTCATTCTACTTCCGTCATTTCGAATTAGTCTTATGATTTAACTTATGATCTATAACTGAATCATTCAACAAGGGAAAGACTTTTAGCCAAAGCGGGCTTCCAAGATGCGACATAACATTTTACTTTCATTTTATAATACACACAAGGTGCATTGAAGAGGAAGGCACATCAAGAAGTTTAAGCAAAGCACGAGATCACACCTCAGCCTCGAGGCAAAAAAAAATCAAGTAAGGGGATAACAAGGCACAAAGCTTTGGACCCATTAACAAAATAAATAAATAGAAACGTTTGTCAACTATGCTTGGAAAAATCACAAACAAGCGAATCAAGGGGTCTCTGAAGATGAGAACTAGGCTCCGCTGAGTAATTAAATAGTGACAAAGATCCTTGATAATTGAGAGTGAACGCTAGTGAAGGCATGGTTGTGATTAGCAACAAAAAAAAACAGAAACTGCAAGTATTGGCTCTAAACAAAAGTCAAAAAAATGCGTCAGATAGCAATCGGCCCTAAAGAGCATAAAACGCTTATTTGTTTGTAGACGTGGAGATCGAGCGTTTATTACGGCAAAAAGGTGAATGCGAGTAGATAAAGAGCGCGAAATGTTCCTCAGTGCTCAAATCGAGCACTGATGAATATCAAAGCACTTTCTGCAATAAAACTTTGAGTAAAATATATCCACACTCCACTGATCATTTAAGGTTGGCCATGGGTGTACGCGAGTGCACCCACGCAGTCTCTGGCTCAACCCTTAGATTGGGTTTATACTGGTCGGAGGTTCCGGAACAGTTCTAGCACAGTTCTCGCACTGTGCTGTAACTTTGCTGAAACTTGTTGCATGCGCTGCAGCCGCTCACATGCGGTTTGGGAGTAGAAATTTCGGATCGCTTCCAAAGAACTTTTTTCTCCAAATCTCGCTCCTTGGTCTCACTACTCTACTCGGATTTCCTTTTTGATAACAAGAGCTTCGATCTTGCGGGATTGGAGAATGAGCTCTATTTAGATTTCATGTAGTCTAGAAGATATGTCTCCGTGAACGGTTTACTTTTTCTTCGTGATTTTTTATCAGACCTACACTTTATGTGTTTCAGGTCGGAAAATCGGGTCCTTTCTCTAATGTTCTACGGGTTTCACTATTGCGCTTTCTCAGTCCTTTTCCCTTTTCTATATCATTGCTTATCCGTTCTTTCTTCTATTACACCTTGCCCCTCCTTGTAATCAGAAAAGCTGCGGACTTGAAGCAGTGATGAAAAAAGAAGGCTGTTTTGCTCCATGTATCCAGGAAGATGGGTCTTTGTGCGCTCATCCATTTTTTCGTCATTTTATGGAGTCCTACTTCTGTATTCTCACAGCTTTCTCTCTCGCCTTTCCAAACAGGTGATTGTTGTGGAATTCCAGAACTTTCGGATCAGTATGAACCCAGATATGGAAAACGCATAGTAAGAGATTAGGATATTTCGATGAACGGCAATTTAAGGATGATAAAGATTTTGACAACTGATTCTATATCACCCGGCACACAGGTTACTGCGATAAGCGCTCACAAATCCTCGTTTAAAAATTTTGAAATCAGCGCTTTATCTCTTGAAATTAGTAGTAAAAGATGCACATTTGAGAGGCAGTAACGGGGGGGGGGGGAAGAGGGGGAAATTAGGCGTCATTGGGGGAAACGTGTTTTTCTTTCAACCCATTTTGTAAACAATAATCCACAAGGCAGTGATACAAGTAAGTTCTAAGGAGACATGTGAGCTGTAGCGGTGTCATATTAGAAACAATGAAAAATTTTGAGGCACACAAATTACTACAGGGTGTCTTAAAAGTATTAAGATGTCGCAAAAATAGTGTTCGTTTTTTTAAGCTTATTTCCCGAACAACTTTTTTTCCTTTAAACATGCTTTTCGATAAGAATTCTGCGCACCTCGGAAAGCTTCCTTCATGAACTTTCTGACAGTGGTGCAGGGCCTGGCACCACTGTCAGAAAGTTCATGAAGGAAGCTTTCCGCGATGTGCAGATAGCCCGCGGCAAGCTGGATATAGTTTCTGGGACAAAAAGCAAAAGGAATATGGTTTTTGTGGCCGAAAATACACACAAATTGCCACACTTTTTTAAGGCGATGTTTCTTTTTTTGAGTTTTTTACGTTTGAAGGTTAGGGGACTTCTTGAATCCTAGCGAAAGTCAAGGGCGACTTCGTTTTAAAAATTTCCTGATGCCAGGTCGTGCGGAGCCCTGCAGTGGTGAAATTAGGCTTCTATTTCATCTGTGAGAACTTCACCAGCATCTCGCACAACTGCAGTCAAAATCGGAATTTCATTGCTTCAACATCCTTGGCAATTCAGGCGCAAATGAACGAACTTTTTGAAAATATAACTATTGTTGGGATGAATATTGTTTACCCATGCATATCTAAGTAGATTTTTCGATTATTAGGTTGTGTAATAAGTTCTGTCCCATTTTTTCTTTCGATTTTTTCTTAATACTTAATGTTCTGCAAATTGTTTACATGCATTTGGAAGCTCTAAGCCTTCTCTACTAAAACTTCCATTTCGGTGTTTTTTACATCAGAAGACTTGAAAGAGCTTTACAGCGTCAAATTTGGAAAATCAAACAGGAGAAAAATCCATTTTCGACAACTACGTTACGTCGCCCTCCAATTAGTCAGAATGCCTACGAATGAGCTCGAAAAATCCGCTACACTAAGCAAAGAATGCTATAGCTTCTACTGCGCTTCAGGACCGCCAAAACTTTTCAAAAATCATTTCTGTAAACTTTAGAAAAGTCTTCTTTTTTAACGCCTTTTCAACGTTGACGTTCGTCATCATCTGAAGGCATCTCAAGGAAGGACGGTAGGCGGATCGTTTAAAAAAGAAAGAAGGGATGGTTTGTGGCTCCAAAATTAACGAATTTATAGGCTAAATACTCAAAATTCGGGAGCCACACAGCGTGGGCATGCGAGACGGCGAACATCGGCGTGAAGAAAGTCTTGCTTTGCCGACTTTTGAAAAAATGTCTCGGTGGAAGGAAACAAGCGCAAACAGTGATAGAAAGAAGCGTGAGAGTCTAATAGATTGTTTTGCTTGTTGTCAAGCTTGTTTAATAAGTTTCACCAACGAAAAGCGGGAAAAAATTGATGGAAAAAAGGTGTCGAAAATTGATTTTTTGGCTCTTTGGATTTTTTGTTTCAATGATAAAAAATCTTTTTCAAGTTCTTGCTATGTTCGGGGATGATGCATATGAGCCTGCGGAGCAGACTTGGAGCTTTCAAAAGCATATACACTTTATCTCAAAGTAAGTCAATATTGTCGTGAAAAACTAAAGCAAAAAATGGGACAGTACTTATTACACGACCTTATCTGGACTGAGAAATCCAAGCCCCAAAGAGATACTCCCTGCATGCTACTTTACGGGTTGAAAGTTTTTCTTGATTAGAGCGCTCACCAAAGCTTATTTCTGTATTTTTAAGATCAGGGCATCTTGCCTACAATTACTGCAGGTAAGCTTATCTAGTCAGTGCATGAAGAATTCCAAATTTTCATAGTTTAGGGCCTTCTGGCCTAACACAAAAAGGCTCAAAAAAGTGAACAATTTTGGGTTTTCTATCTTCTCCTTTCGCAGGTCCCTATACACGTATACTACTGGCCTACGTCTACAAAATAAGCTGATTAGCAGCCACAAGAACAAAGCTTGAAGGGAGGTTGTATTCTCTCAAAAACAAGATTTTCAAAAAAACTTTCGATTTTTTGATGCATGGATTTCTTCCCGTTTGCAAATCAGTATATGCAGGTACGCATTAGCTTACGAAAGGCGAAAGGTTTACTGCTTCTGATAATTCTGATTGCTTTTAAAAATATAAAGACTGGACAAAGTCACAACCTTTCGAATTGAAACTTTGCAAAAGGGACAATTTTTGCAACAACCCAGTACATATAGCTGTCTAACTATTAGCTCCTTTTGCCCAACGCCTTCCAGAATGTTCATTTCCTCTCCATTACTGCAAAATTCAATAGCACCGGAAAGATCTACCTCATCGCGATCCGAATTCTACCTTAAAAATCTACGAAAAGAAATTCGACACCTAGACAACTAGGTGCTGGCTCCATTACAAAGCTCCAGTACAAATTTGCCAATCTGATCGAAGTGGGGTTCCCACACGTGATGCATATCATTGTGCTAGTCTTGGGGCACTAATACCACCGTGTTCCTTAGCTCCTCAGTGAGCTTCTGAGAAAGATTACGAGTGATGGTTTCTCCAGGATGACCACGGATCCCCAAAAGATCATTGAGCAGCTAATGAACACGGATTTGTTCTTAATTCCTTAAGATCAGCACAATGATATGCATCATGTGCGAGAACCCCACTTCGACCGAGGGTCTTTCCCATGTAAAATTAGCCTTACGTGATAATATCTACAGTTCGCAGGAGCTTGAGGGAAGACACCATTAATTTCAGGTTGAACTTACTTCTATGCGTTTTGTCATACTTGAGGTTCGCAGTACTGATCATATACGCAAAAGCACTCATAGGCAGCACGCAGGCAGAAACTTGACCTAGCTTTTGCGTCACCGTCCCGCCACCTGAACTGTGCAAGCTGCACAATCGAAATCAACTGGACGGATAAGCCCAGGTAAGCAGAAAATCTCAGGTTTGAATCCAGATCTTGCTGGAACGCTGCCTTTATGCGTTTTGATCAAATGATAACTGACCGGAGAAATTGGATAATTAGGCTTCATTTTTAGCAGTTTCCTATCACGACCTGCATCTAATCTTATCCAAATTTCATTTCACCCTTTAGAATAAATAAGAGTCCTTTTTACTGGCAGGTTGGTGAACAGCTGCGTTTGTCAAATGCTTAACAATGTTCCTGTCCAGCGCTATCGGCGTCCACTACAAAATCGCCTCTCTTGTCACTACTCTTTTATTCGAATTGATTGCTTGGGCATGGAATTGAATACAGCTCCACAAGACCTTGCCACTGGCAACGTGTCATCTTTACTTCGCATTCCTGTTTAGATTTTTCAATTTTTGGAGGATTTCCATCGAAAAAACGCAAAATTTGCTATAGGCACTTAAAGGCACCGTCCACCCTAAGTTGAGGGTGTCGAGCTTTTGGCAGCATATAATAGTAGGGCCCCCTATCAGTCCAATGCCCAAGTCGCGGCGCAAAATGCTGCTTCGGAAGCGAGAAAATCGCTTCGGAATAGCGAAGATGCACGAGGACTCCCATCCATGCCCGCCCTCCCCCATCCATGCCCGCCCACTTGTGCGCGCCCATCCAATCACCGTTCCGGAAAGCCGTCCTGTGGGTTCTCCGGAACGGGGATTGTCGGGGGTTTCGCGCATTTTCGACTTCATATTCGGATTCAGGGACATGAAAAGGCCCTAAAACGACAAAAACATGAAAGTCGAAAATCTGGGTGGACGGTGCCTATAAGCATGCTCGCTGCAAGTGACAGCTTGCTGTCACTCCTATTTGCCACAGCAGTTCTCAATGGTTGCGGGCGCCGAAAAATGTCCAAACGGTATGTGCGTAAGACCGACTAGTGTGCAAGCGAAGCGGTAGTGAAGCCTGAACCGCTAAGGCCAGACGAGCAAGCGTGGAATCAGGCGAGTCCGGGTTTGTATTGAGAAATAAAGAGGGGCATGGGGATTTTTAAAAAAGAGTCGAATTCGTGATGTGAGAAAACACTACGCTTGGACAAAGTGAGGTCAACGCAGGAGGGGGGATAAAGTAAGCCGCAATTTGAAAGTTACTTTACATGAATTATGAAAGTGTGTCTGAACTGTTCCTACTTACGCCACTGGTGGCGAGCGATTTTATGTCGGCTGTCTGTTAGTCCATCCATTTTTCGTGGAAAATGATCTTATAACTTTCGCAGAAACGTCTAAAGATGTAAAAAGCAAATTTGGCTCATTGTTTCAAACTCTTATTAACAATATACAGTTTGTGGTAATCGCACTTCGTCCTCGTTACCCTCCCTTGTGAGTACTGAAAATATCAAATATAGTTGTAAACAATATACCTGAAAACTGGGATAGAGCGTGAAGTTAAGCACATCGTTTAAAAACGCCCCTCACCCTTTACTTACCTTTCTGAAGGACTCCTTCAAACCCGTTTACTCCCAGGACCTCTAATGTGACATTCAGGATGGTAACCAGCCTATATCAAAGAGATTTGGTTTTTGAGTTAAAAGGCATAATTTTAATTGCACTCGACTACACGGACAGACGCATATTTGTCGGATAAATTCTTTGTGGCATAATGTTCCTTACGGGCCATAACTTCCTTTGAAAAAGTTTGTGACCAAACTACTAATGCGCCAATAACAGGGTTTGGGCCCAATACCTATAGCAGAAGTGGAGCTACCATGACCTTACCAAATTATCTCAGAAGAGCCTCTTTCAGATGTTATTTTGCTGTACATCTTAGGTCATCTAGTAAGTGCTTAAAAGCACTTTGCCTCTTTTCTCTGCTTTAGGCCCGTATGCACGTACATCCCCGCGGGAAGGGGAGGGGATCTGAGAGGGGAAGCGTCATATCTCGCTAGTCTACATATCTTTCTTCTTCTTTCTCTATCTTGCTTATGAAGTTTCTCATACACTGATACCTGCGCATAACGGATGCTAAGTTACTGCCATACAAGATTAGATATTCACTATATCTTCTGATCCCCTAGAGATCCCCAGAGGATCACCTCACATTTTCAAAGTCATTTATCTTCCTGGAAAATCAATGAAAACGCTGCAAAATTGTACTGAAGATATACTACGATACTGCTGAGCATGTTTTCGACGGAGGAAATGGAATTTCAAGATTATGATTTTTTCGATAATCCCTGGCTCGCAGGCAGCCGTTCATCGAAAATTTTGATATCTTGAGATTTCACTCATTTCTACCATAAGCATGTTTAGCAGTGCTGTAGTATATCCTCGGTACAATTTTAAAGCATTTTCATTGAGTTTCCAGGAAGATAAATGACTTTGAAAATATGAGGTGATCCCCTGGGGATCCCCAGGAGATCAGACAAAATAGTGAATATCTAATCTTGTATGGTGGTAACCTGGCATCCATTATGCGCAAATATCAGTGTATGAGAACCGTCAAAAACAAGATAGGGAAAAAAGAAGAAAGATTTATGGGCTAGCGAGATATAACGCTTCCCCTCTCAGATCCCCTCCCCTCCCCGCGGGGATGTACGTGCATACGGGCCTTATAGTAGTCTGCAGGAAATGAAAACACTTACGTTGAAAACAATGGCAAATTTTAGCATCACTTTCAAAGACGACTATGTGCTAACGATATGAAGCCAAATTCTTGAGTAAGTCAAGAAAATACTTTATAGATAATACTTTATTGTAAAAAAAACGATTAATTTCACGCTTTTCACACGTAAAAAGCTAGAAAACTGCAGATAATAGTTCTTAAAGTGTACAAATGTTGATGCTAATTTGCAAGCAGTGTTTTGCATCATAAGACATCTGCCGTCAACTTACTTTGTGTGCAAGGTAAAATTTCAAATTTTTTTGAACTTGTTGGAACTTTGCACATGATGTGGTTGTTTGGCATGTGCTGTCCAATAAACTATATTTCGTCGTCACGGGTTACACTTGGCGGTTTGCAGGCCTGTGCTTATCTATACTTTTGGAAATCGTGGCATTTTCAAATCTTAAGGCAGCGTACGCCCAATTTTCGCCTCCCATGTTTTTCTCATCCTGGGGCTTTTCCGTGACCCTGATCACAGTTATGAAATCCAAAATCTCCAAAAACCCCAAAAAACCCCGGCTCCCAAGGACCCTCTCGTTAGAGGGCGTACGAGTTTTGAATTACGGCACCGTAGGCATGCCAGCGAGGAGCAGCTGCAACTGCATGACGGCCTGCAGTTGCAACAGTACTGCAGCGTACGCTTACAGCTCTTGCCGCCGTGGATCCATCCGAAGTAGGCGGGTCGCAAAAAAGGAGCGGAGCGCAAAAAAAATCAGGTGCGTTTTTAACCCTTAGAAGCAACATTGCGAGACCTGAAAAACGCAGTTGGTCTTCTCCTAGGCCCTAGATATACACCGTATAATAAAGTGGGTAACATAGATTCTGGGTGTACGCTGCCTTTAAGGCAATCTGCTACGGCCGTTACTGCCTCTTCGCGACCCCCAATACGACTCCAAGTCGAGTGTGTCTGACTTAAAAAGCTTGACCCTGCTAATAGCACCACTGCTGAGACTTCTGCAAAGACCATACTCCCCATTCCTTACTGTACACCTATCGTAGGCTTCCAAAGACGTCCTACAATGTGCAATGGGCGTGATTTCCGTAGTCAGCATTTTAGTTTACATATACTGACTACGGAAAGCTCCAATTCTGTTATGAACAGTGATCTCCAACCCGTTATTACCGTACTAATCTGGTCTCAAAAATGTTTTTTGGGAAAATGGCTTTAAAGAAACATCATGCCTCAAAGAAACTATCCATCAGATATGTGTTTGTAGTCGAGTTTCTGATAAGGCTGACTTCTATTCTGAGTGGCATATTATGAGGCTCTGGAGGTGAATAGGATTGAGTCGTTTTGATAGAGTGTGGGAGGAAAGAGTTGGACGACGTGTGCCCTACTTCCTTGTCCTAATTTTACTTCGACTCAAAAAGTAATTCCATGACTTATAATAAAGCGCTAACCTCCGCCTGTTTGTCTGTGATTGTATGTCTGTGGATGCTCAACATATACATGCGCAGACTATGAACGTAAGCCCAAAAAATGAGCAAATCTATATTGCGCAAATCAGTGTCAAAAAGGAACAATTGCAAAGATCGACAGTCAACATTTCACGCAAATATTTCTGAAGATTTCTGCTCAGAAATGTAGGTGAGGGAATTGATGTCTTTTATGGAAACTACACGGCCATAGTGACTACATTAATCAATCGTAATTCTCTTTTGAGTATCTACACAAAAATTTTCTCTTGCCGAAGTTACCGGTTGCACATGGAAAAGCTCATGGAATGAGTACTTGTTTGAAACTCGTTCGTGATGGTTAGCATTGCACAGCCAGTTACGAGTCAATATCATGCGAGCAAGAGGAAGGCATATAGTTAGAAAAGCCAGCAACAGCCTATGCGAAGCAGAGGTGAAGCACTGGTAGAACTGTATTTTAATAGCCCTCAATTTTACGGACTCTCAGTACAATATCAAAGCAGCAATGTTTATTTTGAGAATAGGCTGACTTTTGTTTTCATTTATTATATTTTATCAGTTATTCTATGAGTACAATAAATAAGTAACAAGTAGATATAAATATTGGAGGAAGCATTGCAGATTTTGAATCACTTTCACCATGTATCCCGTGTTGGTGTATAAATGCACGCACTATTCATGAATCAATGCATCAACAATTTTCCGGACATCTGCATCTTTGTAGTCATTGAGAACGACGTTGATAATTTCTCCTCGGTCATCTACATGGCCCGTGAAGTTGGCATCTGCAAATCATGCTTATATTGAAAACCATGGTTGTTATTCTTGATTACACTGTGCTAATATCAAACTGTAGAAAAAAATGCCGAAACTACGAAGTTGGTGCAAAGTTGTTGTTCGTTTTTTAGACCCCTTTCATTTTTGAACCAAACTTTTTTCAAAACAGGCTCTTACTATATTTAGTCTTCCTCACGTATCATACTTTCCAGCATGGGATGCTTCTAGCCTCATTGTTAGAATAAAACTATTGTACACCCGCTCGCAACAAAATTGTGTTGTTCCTTTCATAACCGAATTCAGGCGCAAATATCTGCCTTCTTTGGGAAGATAGCTACCGATTGTGAGATGAAGTTTGCTTAATCTTCGCGAATAATTCGCATCTGCGCTTGACTTTTGAGTCAGAAATTGGAGGCTGTCAGATTTGCCTCCGAATTCGCTGTTTAGCCAGCAGTCGTAATTCTATGAGTGGATTAGCGGCACGCGAGCTAACGAGCCCGAAAGATGTGCAAGACATACTCAAAAAATATTTGCAGTGTTAAACTTGACTTACTCCATGCAGAAAAAAATATTTCAAGTCACCTTCTCACTAAAGCACATCCCCGCGCATGCTGGCTCAAACTGCACTGCTAAAAACCCAAAGAACTAAATCTGTTTTGCAATTAGCATTTTCTTTGCAAAGAAATTTGCATCTTTCAAAAAGTATTGTTTTAGACGTTACGGTAACTTGAAAGGATCTTTCTTTGTCTATCAAAAGTCGTCTACTAATCAACACTAATCTTACGAAATAAATGAGCGTTTATCTTTTTAAGATATTGAATTTCGAGCTTTCTTGGTAGTCTGAGGACGTATTCAAGAAACATTACAATGAATTGAATTTCGAGCACTTTAGAATGGAAAAAACATTAAAAATAGGAGAAAACTGCATTAAATGACGCCTGAGGTGCTCGCCTCCTGACGTTCTATGAGGTTTTTGGTTGATCAATTGTGAATTTGATACCATCCCAAAAGTCTTTCGAAAATTCTCGGAAAGCCAGCTATAAATGCCAAAAGTTGTGTAGCATGGTACTTTGGTCGGGTCTGTTCTCCCCGTTATCAAAGCTCTTCAAGAATCTATTAGGTGGGTTCGAAAGTTCGTACCGTTTTTTATATCCTCAAATCATTCACATTAAAGGTAGACAAACACTTAACACTAAAAATTGTTCTATTTCTTCCTCTTTTCAGTAGTGTTTTGATCGGTCCTTTTATGCTCGCTTGAAAAATCCCGAAATTTTCAAATCATGGTTTTTAACCTAAATTATTTTTTCAATCTTCGTTTTGGACTTTTGGAAATGCTTCAATAAGTTGGATAGAGTAAACAAAATGCGATGTAATTCAACTTTTTGGCATTGGTAGCTTGCTTCAAGTCTAAATGATCATTTTGATGCTACTAAATTTGATATTTGTTTATAGCAAACCTAGAAAATCAGAGGGCAACAGCTAGGGTGTCATTCGACGCAGCTACTTCTCCTCTTTTCTGTCTGTCATCCCGCCATTAGAGCTCTTTCAAGAATTTTCAACGAAAATTTTGAACAATATCTAGGGCTGGACATTTTGAAAAACCATAGGTCCGAAATTCGGCGATAACAACTAACTGAAAACACTGAGAGGAGGAGGAAGCGCTCATTTGACATCAGTCTAGCAAAAAAAAACAACATAAAGTTAGACACTGTTTAGTTCCAGCTATAAGGAAAAATGGTAGAACTTGAAGCTTTTCTCGGTGTAAACATTCTTGAGGGGCAATTGCTCAACAATTGCTCAATTGCTTTCGACGTCAACTGAGTTCCAAGCAGAATTGCTGGCGGCGAGACCAAAATAGCACCAATCGGATTTTTCAAAAATATGGTAGCAGCTTCAGTGATAAAAAATGTACTTTTGCTAATGTTTTTGCCCTGTATGACTTGTTAAATTTTCTAAATTATCGTCTGGACCTGCTACAGGAGGAAAAATTTTGTTACAAAAGATCCAAGAGCCACGAATACAGTAACACCACTGATACATCTATTTTTACAACACAGCACAATAATAACAATATTGCAAAATCGCCTCAAGAAAGTGTTTAGGGTAAGTCAAAGCGAATTTGCTAATGCAAGGGAATTTTGAGTGAGACTAATGGGAGAAATACGAAAAATAGAAGCTTTATTCTGGATACTACTTCTAGGTCACTTTCAAATCCACAGTCTACTCCTATATGTGTATTAGTTTTGATTGCACTAACGATAAGATAGAGTGGGATTGTTACAGCTTACTGTGAAAACTAGTGGAGATACGAGAAAGACTGGAGTGAGATTGTTACAGCTTACTGTAAAAACTAGTGGATATACGAGAAAGACTGCGATGTTTTAGCTTTGCTTTCTAGAATGATTCACTATTCAGAGTTGGATCTTGTCATGCGCTTAACATCCGAGCAAAGTAGTCGAATGCCTGGGTTACTTTATTCTAAACGTGTACAGAAACCTTTTTACTGCATCTTTTTACACATTGCAAAACAGACCGAGTGGACGGCATGCTTTTAGAATGGGTCTTCTAATGTTTATCAGGCTTCGACTCTCAAAGGCCCGAATATTTTCTTTTTTTGTTGCAGTCATGTGTCTCATTTTGCCGAACCCTAATCTTGAATAAAATGTTCGTAAACCTACAGCAGGCGGAGAAATTTGAACAGCAACGTCAGACCATGAAGACGTCCACGGCTCCAGGACCAGACCATCTTTCCGTCGAATTTCTGCGAGCTGGAGGACAACGTCTACACGAGATCCTCGCGTCGCACCTAACAACTTACCTTCAGAAGGAAAGGATTCCCGACCAGTGGAGAACATCAAGAACCGTCCTTCTTTTCAAGAAGGGTGAACGGGAAGATCTTCGGAACTACCGTCCAATATGCCTGCTGAGTATGCTGTACAAGCTTTTCACGAAGATTATCCTCGCTCGCATATCTAGGACACTGGATGAAGCCCAACCCCAAGAACAAGCTGGATTTCGCAAAGGATTCAGCTGCATGGGCCACATCCAGACGGTTTCGACGGTCATAGAAGTCTGCCGGGAATACCAACTGCTCGTCCTAACCTTTGTCGACTACGAGAAAGCCTTTGACAGCGTCGAATCCAACGCCATCCTGTCTGCGCTAGTCGATCAAGGAGTGGACCCAGCTTACGTGAGGACGTTAGCCGACTGTTACAAGGACTGTACAACGACGATGCAGCTGTTCCATCACCCCTTGACTATTCCAATCGGGAAGGGGGTCCGACAAGGCGACACAATTTCGCCGAAGATGTTCACCGCGGCCTTGCAGTGGGTGATGAAGTCACTGGACTGGGACGAGAGAGGCATACGAGTTGATAAGAGAATCCTGTCGAACCTTCGTTTTGCGGACAACATCGTTCTCTTTTCGAGCAGTATCACTAAAGCAGAGACGATGCTGAAGGAACTGAACGAAGTAGGGAAGAAGATCGGATTGCGAATCAATCGGAAGAAGACTCAGTTCATGAAGAACGCCCTTTGCGAAGATGCAGAAATGGAATTGGAAGGCACCCCTATCACGGAGACGTCTTCTTACGTGTATCTCGGACGTTCGATGAACATGGAGAACGACTTGAGGGAAGAACTTAACAGGAGAAGAAGAGCAGCCTGGGCCGCCTTCGGGCCTCTGATGGAAGCCACCGACCAACTGACGGACCCGGAGCTTCGTGCCCACCTGTTCGACTCAACCGTTCTCCCGGCGCTCTGTTACGCAGCTGAGACTTGGGCTGACACCGTCGCCACTTCGAAAGCTTCAAGGACCACCCACAGAGCGCTAGAGCGTAGTCTTCTGAAGATGACCCGACACAAACAACATCTCGTCGGACTTCGCAGTACGGATATGAGGAGAATGTCCCGTCTTCGTGACCCAGCGGATTTTGCGAAAGCGAAGCATCGATGGGCCGGTCACATCATGAGAAGAACAGACGACAGATGGACACTAAGAACATCGGAGTGGATTCCTCGCGAAGCAAAACGTCCCCGAGGAAGACCACCAAAGAGAAGGGCAGACGTGTTCGTGGAACGGATGGACCAGCTGACAAATCAGCTGGATACGATTTTTGCACCTGGAACTCGTGGACGCAGCCACCGACGTCAGCCAAGAAGATCGTGGATGTCAGAAGCGAGGGACAGCGAGAAATGGAAACTTCTGAGCTGGGGCCCGCACGTCACGTGAAGCCGGGCCATCTAAGTATCTAAGTAAGTAAGCATGCTTTATGCCCCTTGTGTTTTTGCTTTAACGAAGCTGAAACATTGAACTACAATAAGATACATATTCGCTTTTAGTGGATGGAGCTGTTGCACTGCTATCCGTGTATGCGTCGCAGGTGCAAATTACAAGAACTTTTAGGCAATTTTAGTTCAAAAATTGTAGTCAAACTGAAGTGTTATCTACATACCTTGCAGACTAACAACTACAATATTCGTGTAATTGTAACTTGGAGTGATAACCCAGTTCTTTTCCACGAAATCTCTGAAATTTGATTGATCGAGCCTGCTCGTTCTGATTTCCTCGCTAGTAAACTTCATTGTAGCAGTCATGTGGTACTGCTATTCCGAGTATTGCAAGTTGAAAATAACTTATTTGAACATCGGTATATCACTCACGCGCCCCACATGAAAAGCAAGCTATCCACTTTTCCTTCTGGACCAGTTGCAGTGTTTATTGTAGAGAAACTGTAAAAGATCATGGAGTGTACTTGAAAGCATTAGCAATATGAGTCCGATGCTCAACTTACTTTGCACCCAAATCGTTTACAAAATACCCTCTCTGCATGGCTGTATGAGCTTCACGTTCGAATTTCTCATAGGTATCGCTCATGTTATTGAAGACATTTGTAAAATCGGTTTTTTGTGCTACTGAGCCGTAAGCCCAAATTCCAGCAGTCGAACCTTGCCTTTCTTTGAAAAGCGTGTCCGTAACGTTCAAGATTAGACTTTTTTCCTTCAAAAAAGGAAAACAGGTTAATTAAGATTTTGTTTATATACAGTAAGAAAGAAACTTCGCAATTGTTGAGTTGCAAATAAATTGTTTTCCTTAATGTCTTTCAAAATGATAAAACTTTACCCTGTCTATCTCTTTTTCTTTGGTGTTGTATTGCAGATCAGCTACGCAGACGCAATTGATGCTTCTGGGTGCTGAAACCTTGTAGCCATTAACGAAATCTTCGTACTTCGTCTCATCAACGATGATTGGGGTTGTCAAAGTCTCCAAAGTATGCGCAAGTTGTCGTATACATCCACAAATTTGTCTATTTGTAATAATGAGCCATAAGTCCGATACAGTTGACTTTTTTCAATAAGTATCTTCCCCTGTTGAACTGCAGCTATTATAGATTTATTCACTCATGTGCAGATGTAAGCGAAAGCGGTAGTGATCGCAAGAATTGTTTACCTAAGCATTGTACTTAAGGTGAAACTTTTCCTTGGCAATCCTGTCTTGCTAATGTATTGAAATTCTACAGACGCACCTACGCCTTGCGATGCTGAAATTTTTGACTAACAATAAGATAAATAGGTGAAGTACCAGTAAGGGCATCAAAACAAACTAGATTCGAGAGTGTAACGCCTTTCGACATATAGCTTTTGTTGTTGTAATAAAAAGTTGTGCTTCAGATAAAGACGAGTACTTGCAAAAGTTTGATAAACCATGTTTGTATATTTTAGTAATGTATCAGTGGCGTACGGAGGGTGAGGGGAGGAAGCCGCCTAGAAGAGTTTGAAATTTTAGAGGAACGACATGAGTTGTAAATATCTGCAAATGACTTGTTTATTCTTGTAAATGGTTAAAGTGATTTCTGAAATTTTTAGAAATTTAAATTAGTGTTTTTAAGATTTTCTCGGGAGGAGGGGGGGGGGGGTGAGGGGCAGCCAAATGCGTGGCTAACTCCACGCACCTTGGCTTGAAAAATTTTTTTGTTGCGCCTCCTCTGAAGGAAAATCCCACTGAATATACTAGGTCGTCCCAAAAGTATTCTCGCTTTTCAAAGAAGCTCCACATTTCTTAAAACGAATTTTTATAGAAGATTTGGCAGCATTCGATGCAATTATTCTCGATCATCTTTATATTGCAGTTCAATAAACGAACTTTCAGAAAAATACCGAAAATCAAGAGCCATGGTTTTGCCAAGGTCAAGTTTAGTTTTTTTTTTCAAAATTTTGAGCTCTCCCCGAAGAAGAACTATAGATAGAGCAAACGCTGTAGAACGAAACAATTTTGTTCTCATCCCTATAACTCGCCAGAATTTTTTTGACAGAACACAACACCGTCAAATTCTAGCGGGCCATAAAACGCAGACCAAAACCTCTAGATTTTTGATACTTGCAAAAGCAATTATGATTCAGCACTAATTCTGCAAAACAGAAGAGCGTTCAGGGATTCAAAATATCAAATTTTGATATTTTCCAAGTACAACTAATGGCGTATTCAAAAAATGAAATTTGTTGATTTCATCCTACATCACTGTACGAATCATAAATAAAGAACATTCCTTTAAAAAGGGAAACTTTGTCAAATAGCACACAAGCAGTTGCTAGCCGGTTGTTCTATGAAGTTTGAGTTGATCAAATATGAAATTTGATACTTAAAATACTTTTTTCGGGAAATTGGTACAAAAGTTTAGTAAAATAGCGAGACTTGAGCATGAGGAAAAACCATGGGCGAACATTTTCTGATAATTCTCTGGAAGCTCCTCCGCGAAGTGCAACATAAAGATGATCATTTGAAAGAGCGTGAGAAAATGCATTGAATGCTACCAAAATCTTTAGTAAACCTTGTTCCACGGAATGTGGCGCGTGTCCAACAAGCTAAAATATTTTTGAGACCACTACCAATAAGTTTTCACTTAGCTCTAAGTAGCGGACGTACGGCTGACTTCATCTTAACTCACACGATAATCGCTGGTCTTGATTAAAATAGTAATTACTAGCTTAGCTAGCCTTGATATTTATGGAAGCATAAATACCTGCACTGGTAGGCGTTCCAACATAAGTGCTTGTAGCGTCAAATGTGACGGTTGATTGAAATATTGGCTCAGTCCTGGGACTTGATTCTGCCATCGTGGCTCCCATCAAAACTCAATAAACATAATTAGATTCGAGTTGCGGTGTATGGTGATATATTTTCAGAAGGTTATCAGAAGAATGTCCAAAACGAAATGGGGAATTAGTGTGTAGGATCATTTTGTACACGTAAAAGGTAAAATCACTTTGTATACATGAACCTTGTAACAACATTGTTTAGATAGAAACTTGAGTTGGCTTTTTTAACCAAAATCTTGGTAAAACTTACCAAATCCTACTATTCTGTCAACTACGTTTTCTCCCTTTCCTACAACGTGGCTGATATTTACTCCGTACCAATCCTTGATAGACTCGCCATCTTCTTTAGTAAAGATGATCAACACATGTTCCTCAATGTGAGTTAAACGAATCATCGCCCTCACGATTTCCATGTCGCTGTCGCTTGCGCTGAAAGGTTCTACATGAGCTGAGTGCTGAAAGTTGGTGCAGGGATAGATTGAAATTGAACTTGCCTATAGTTGAAGTTACAAGGTACAAAGTACACAAGAAGATCATCATCAGATGCCGTGTTCACAAATTCTTGCAAAACACTGAAAAATAGTCGAGCAAGAGGCATAGGAATAGTTTTGAAAGCAACAACATAACTAATTTCATTTTATCACGCGGCTCATATTCTTGATCAAACATTCTTGATCGTGTCAAGTAAATCTCTTGATTATCAGCCGACGAGAGGCTGATAATTCAAGAGATTTACTTGACACGCTGTGGTAAACTTGTTTTTTATCACTCAAATTATTAGGTTGTTAACTAAGTGCAGGCTGTAAACTGTTTTTCGCAACTTCCTCGCGCTCAGTACTTCGTATTTTTCAATCATGAAATAGAAAAAAATTTGGGCAGTTTTCCAAAACTACTGACACAAGTAAAGATGAAGCAATTCAGAGTCTAAAACATTGCCAAGCATTGCCGATTAACTCTGCAAAAAAATGTAACAGTAGTTGGAGATTGTTTGAAATTTGGAGCCATCGGGAAGTTGAACTATGCAGTTGAAGGAACTATGCAGAACTATGCATTGATGCTAACATCCGCTAATAAGTAGTGAGCGAAATCCCATTACCGAGACTTTGCACTATAGGGTGATTCGGGAGACGGTCAAGAGGAGCACTCCACTTCAGTGCTGCGAATCTTCAAATAGTACCAAATAAAGTGCATTAGCACTATCTGTCTGAGGTTACCATTTGCTGAGTTTGGCGCCTTTTGCTGAAAATGGACCGAAAGATTCATGGATATGCTTTACACCGCATTTTAAGGGTTTTGCCTTCAAAATTGCCGTTTTGAGTTGACTCCAAGGTAATAAAATCAAACAACCCATGTAACTATCTAATATATTTCTTTCCGCTTAGACTTTTAGAAACTTATAGAACAACTATTTTGTGCCATTTAATGTCCACCTGGCAATGGAAATCGCGCCTCTTGACATACACTCGAGTAATTCTATATGCTGGACACGACATCGTATTCACTTGTCGTCAAATTGAAATTTTTTGTGACCTTACTAAAAAAGGCATTGTCATGCAAGGTATTGCGCAAAATGAGTATAGTTTTTATGATTGCTTGCCGAGAAACTCTCCAGACCAAGTTTCAGCTGGAACTGTAACAACCTGGAGCATGAGTGAGTTTTTTTTACCGTGCATCTACATTAACCCTTACACAATTAGCCAAAATTTGATACACATTGCTGTATCTAGATCACGTCGCGGCCTGAACATCGCCGAAGTCTGAGTGTAACGATATGCGATAAGAAAAAAGTTTGGGAAGTTGCGAGATTTAGTTAACAACCTAATATTTGATGCCTTATGTTCAGAAACCAAACACAGTCATAGGAGAGAATGGAGGAGAGGAAGACCCACAGGTACTGCTTGAAAGTTGTTTGCCGATTTGACTGACTCATTGCGATTTCCAGCTTGTCAATAGCCTTCAACCAATGCATCGCTTCAGAAGCTTTGACTTCATCAGCAAAGAAGATAAATCGAAAGCGCTGGTCCTTCATTTCCAAAATGGCGTGTTGAGTACTTACGATATTCTGGAAGCAAATTAAGCCCTTTTAGGCCTAAGGCATACTTCCCATGATTCCGCCAGATCGCTACATGAACGCCACCAGGCGATTTGCCAGATGACTAGAAGTTCACCGTGCGCGGGTCTCGCATAAACATGTAGTTTCTGTGAGTTGTTGCAGAAGCGCAAATTTTGGCAGGAATAAAACGCGCCTATGACCAATTAGAAGAGTCGTTGCAGTGCCATATAGCGTGAGGTATGCCTTAGGCTTTAGAGATGAATCTTTCAACTGTTAATGGGTTCGGCTAGCAGCAGAACACATACGGGGAAGAATAGTGGACCTATCTATTAAGCTGCTGCATAAGTTCTACCTTATTTTGGTTGCCTTGCGTTTGAAGCACTATTAGTATCTCAAAGAAGCGTTATAATTGCTTTTAATGCATATCGATCTCAAAGAAAATCCTTATTCTGATAATATGGCCGAGATGCCGTCTCATTTCACCAAGAAAATGTCCTCATTGCGCCCTTCAAGTCAACGTATTGGTAGCGGATCAAGGGTGTAGCATGTTGGTAATTCGATTCAACTGGCTTGGCTTTGGAAAGACGGGGCTTTGCGTCCTAATTAAGGCCGCTCGCGCCCACAACGCATTTGAGTCTCTCTCGCGCGAGTGCTCTCTGATCACTACCTAGCCTTATTTAGGTCATGAAGCGCCGCCTTCCCGAAGCCAAGCCAGTTCAGTCAAATGGTATATGGATAAACTCATACTCATGCAAAAAAAAGTTCTGCTCACAAAACTTATTGTCGAAGACCATCATTCATAACAATATTCTACAAGCACTATTGGTGAACGGAGAGAAAAGTTCAAAGATGGAGGTGTTAGAGTAAAGTAAGAGTTAGTAGGCCCATACACCAGTTGCTCTTCACTGCTACAAGTGTAATTCTCATGATTTACAAAAGCGCTATATCCATGTACCGAAGCAGGTTAGCGGCTTCGTTTTTACTCGGTCGTAAAATCTCAAGTAAATTACATCGACCTTATGGATTCGTTTGGTTATGAAATAAAATCCGAGATCCTCTCTATTTAAGACATGACTACGCAGTATGCTTGCCACTTCTTGTAAGGAGCACTGCGTAAAGGAAGGACACGTTTTTAGAAGAATATTGTAGAATTTTTGAGTTTCTGTTTCTTCTCTTAACAGGGTTTTTCGCAAAGCTTAGTAATTTTTCGAAAAAGGCAACTTGCTTTGTACACTTTTGAAAAAAAAGATATCTTGAGCGAAAATCTAAACCGGACGAAACTTATGCAGCAATCTAATACATTGCTAAAGGGCTGAAATGAGCTTATAACTCAAGGTCACAGATGCTCTTCAAATTAGAGTTCACGCAGCTGAACAGACACAACCAAGTACTACCTAACAGCTATTCAATACGGTACATTTGTCTGCCAAATGTTTGCGCTGGTACTTCTTATAGAGATAAACTCTCGTATGGATTATATCTCATATAACTATTCTAAAGACGCGTGGTTTTGTAAGAGACTGCGACAGAAAGAATTAACATAAGTGTTTGATCTTTTAATTATCAGGACACCGAAAATGTTTTCAAGTATCGCGGCAGTTATTCTCCTTTTACTTGTTTCAAATTCTGACAATATCAGTATGTATCTGGAATAAGAGCGCGACAGATAGGTGTATTAAGGATCATATTTATTGAAAAGTTGATCTCAACTGACCTTGGTAAGACTGCATTTGTCATCGTTTCGGACTTCTTTGTATTGTACATCATAATCTGTGTGGAAAGCGAAAAAAATTGTACGCACTAACTCCTTCGGTTCTTCTGAATCCTCGTTATTTCCTAAACTTACACTTTTCCACATGAGGAAATATCTATCGACTGAAGTAGTAGTTTGACTGAACCACTCATGTCGAAAGGATTACGCGACGCAAAACTACTTCTGATTGTAAGTGAATTTCTTCACAACATGTGCGGTGACTTCATTCACAACCTTCATAATATAAGAATTCCTACCGACATTCGGGCCGCATTTTGTCGCCCTTTGGTTCAGATTATCACATCTAAGTCTTTCTCCAGAACTTCTGAGAATTCATATTGCGATGGCTAGTGATGTCACGTGCAACTTTTTCTGGACTCAACGGGATCTATACGTTTGAGTTACTTTCGGATTTCAATGGTGAATAATTATGGATGGCTCATGCAACGTCTTCTCGGTAGCTCTTTTCAATTGATATGCTCATCTCTGAAACCCACTCGCACAAATGTTTACTGCCGCTTCTTTTGCACCAGTGAAACTCTAAATTGAAAATCTTTATAGGTTGACGAGTGTCTTGAGATTACTCTTGCCAAACTTTTCGAAAAAGTTAAGAGTGCACATAATCTTTGAGCATTTCTCTTTTTACATACTCCCGCAGTTTGCGTAAATTACCTTGCAAGCATTTGGTTTCGTCAGAATATGAGACAGAATAGCATAACTTGTTGACTTGCTCGAGCTAAAACACCTTCGAGTGGTCCCAAATATTCTCTGAACTGATCTGCTAGCCGAAAAAAAAATTGCTCATAACCATCACTTGCATATTAGACGGAAATGTGCGCTGTCAGAATCATTATCAATTTATCTTCAATTTTTGATTTCGCATAAATTATCAGGATGTTGCCTGCATTTAGCGTTACTGAAAAGGCTTTTCAAAGTTCAAACTGTTAGTTAAATTGTTGCAATTTTAAGTGTTGTTATAGCCTACTTATGTTTTCGAGTCAGAAGTTTTTGATTGTTTTCAATACATTCTTGACGTGTAGAATTGTTTCTTGCTGCATGCTAATCAACTGAAAAACTTACTGCTGCCGTGCTAAACGTTTGACAAAAAGTAACAGAAATCTCAAATGTTCAGAGCTTTTTGTAAACAAGAAATGGCTCTCACTAACGTGAAAACCTTCTCGTAGCCCTACAATCCCCCCAAGCAGTTAATGATTTGAGATTATACCGTTGTAGAAGCAGAAGTTCAATATGACACATTGTAAACCTGTGAGACATTTAAGCACGAAATGTTAACGAAAGCAGTATATGCAAACTTTTGTAACACCATATATATACATTTCTGTGTGAAAGTTTAGTCATAATCAGAACAAGTGAGCATCAGCTAACTGGGGAATGGTCAAAAATCGAAATGGCCAATCTAAACAAGTTGCAAATCATTAAGTGCAGCATAAAACGCTGACTTCGAATGTATATTCCGTATCTGCATATGCCTTTTTGGACGAAGTTATCAGCCGTTTAAGACCGCTTAATTTGCTGAGAAATGTGCTTTCAAAGCTCAAATTTAGCAGCACAGAGCCATGTTTGGCTTAATGCTGGGCCAAGACATGTTGCTAGTTACTTTATATTCCTAAAGCCTAAGGGTGAGCTGAAAGGGCAACAATGTGCTCAACTTCACAATTTTAATGTAGGACTTTTTCGTAAAAAAAACTGCTAAAAACCTCGTCCGCAAAGTAACCAGATTTGAAAAACAGATTCGAAATCAGCTTGAATGTGACAGCTTGCCTAGATTGGCCACTTCGACTTCAGACCATTTCCTTGTAAATTTATAGAAAATGGCTTTACAAATTTTAAAAAGATTGATGGATAAACAGGGTGTTTCAGGAAACATCAGGAGGCAGAGTGTAGCAGAGAGATCCCAACAAAACCAAAAAACTCTTTTTCTTCTTTTATGCTAAAATACGAGGTCTCTGTGTATCCTAAAAACCGGGACAACACTTTTCAACCAATCTCCTTTTAGTTTACGATTGAGTTTCAAAAGTTCAAGGAAGCTACTGGTGTTCATTGAAAATGAGGAACTGCGCCTAGATCTCAAGCAGAAAATCGCGCGCTAAAATGCTGTCTTATCTCGTTAATGGGTGACTTCCAACTCCTGCGACGTTAACAGCGCTTTTAGACGTGTCATGACGATTAGAATGATTTATAATGTTGCAGGGTTGAGACCCCGGAGATCTAGACCAGGGCCAAATGTCCCGTCGGCGCTGGTCTTTCTCTTCTGCTCGTTTGCGTCTCCGCGCACTGCGCGCTACCTCCCCATCCCAAAAGCGGGGCGCCGGCAATTGGCTCTAGTACCTTTCTCTTCGTGTTCTGAGCCCAGTTACGCCAAACTATATATCATATTGAAGCTCTTGATCTCTACTTTTACCCTGACAATGTTGCAGAACCCCGCCTTTTGCTGCAAACTGAAACCCGGCAGAAATCCTGTTTTCGGAAATCTCCTGTTTTTCTTCGGTTTAGTTTTTAAGCGAACTTCCGTGCGTTTGATAGATCTTGCTTCTGTCTTTAAGACAGATAACGTCGTAGAGTATACTTTTGAGATTATTGTGAAATATTAGGCTGGGGGATAATTTTTGTTGCTGATCAAGTTAAGCGCCATGGCTCTTGTGCCGGAAATTTGCACATGTCAGCTTTCACAGCCAATTTCGCTGGAACTCGGCTAAGTTTGATATTGTTGGATATTCACCCTCCCCCCTCTCCACCACCTCTTAAACGCTTTCCGCAATATTATGCACGGGTGCCTTGACGACTTCAAGTCTTCAACATTAGCGATAACTGTTTCACTCTCCCGGATGTGAAATCTCATCACTCATTTTCGCCCTCAATGATGGATTTCGGTCAGTATTACACAGCAGATAAGTAAAAAGTTTTCAGTAAGAATTTGGCACACAACAGCTACAAATAAGAGGATTAGCGGAAGATTAGTATGCGCTTCGGAATCTAGCCATTTACTCACAGAAGACACCAAGATTGTGTATGTACCCCCTCACAATTGTTTGAGGAAGAATTACTAATTAATACCGTAATCTACATTTGCTAAATTCGATCTACACTTGAAATACGACAACTATGACGTTTCTCCGACTCTCACTCTTAATTGACACATGAAGAAGACAATCAACATGCTAGTCTGGCCCGGAGTACAGACATGTGATGTAATATAATACTA